CTTTCTAAACTTCCAAAACACTTTCACAGCACAACAGATATTGATTTTTATAGGTCTGAAAGTGAATATCCAGGGTTGCAGAGGGTCCCTCACAGAACAGAATAGATAGTGCTCAGTTTTGGGCACTTCATTCTTGGAAAAGAGTTGAATAAGAGTTGGTGATGTAAATGCGTTGTACATGAGTGAGTGCCACAGACCCTGCAGAGATTTGGAAGGAATGGCTGTATTCCTAAATTAGACAGAAGGTGTAGTTTTCTGTTTCCTTTTTCAGTGCCATATTTAAATGCTGAAATCAATCCTACCTGCAGTACACACAATCAATACATCTGGCTACAGCTCCCATTGACATCTGCACAGCATGTAGGCATGCAAAATTTTGATGTAAATGTGAGGTACTTGCCTAATGACTCACAGATTTACAAATGAGGACTAACAATTTTCATGGAAAAAATTAACAGAGCTAGCAAGAGTTAACAGTCTTAAAACACTAAAATCCTGATGTGCCCCTTTATTATTGCCTGTACTGGCACATCTTCAAAGAAATACAGCTGGCAAGAATATCCACGTGATTGTGCATGGAATAGATATTGGTTAAGCTAGCAGTTCTCCCAAGGGCTCATGAGAAATTCTTTGCTTGAATTCTCAGTCATTGAGGAGCTTCAGATTTACTAAAAATAATGCATGCCAAGTGGGGTAGGAGTACCTAATTCTCTAATCAAGGGAGTCAAGGGCATTGGCCTTCTCCACAATCGTGTGACATTCCTTTAATGCATAGACCTGAGATCCCCAGATGCATTTCCTTCCTTGCAAGGCAGCTGCAAAAGTGATACTTCAGTAAACTGGAAGGCACTTCAACCTTGCCAAAAAAAAAAAAAAAAAAAAAAAAAAAAAAGGCTTGAAGAGACCTAGAGCAGAAAAACAATCCAACATAACAAGCTGTTGTAAATCATGGTGGTTTTCTCTTCTTTTGGAGTTTTTCTGATTTGGTGGCTATTTATGGTTCTTATTTCAATAGGTGCATTTCAGATAAATCAAGAGAGTTCACAGTAACTTTGAAGTGCAATATGTTACTTTTCAAATATGACAGCTTGCTGCCTACAGCATTCCCTATTGCTTCTCAAAAGCCATAATTTTGCTGAATGTCAGGTCAGACTGTTAGGAAATACAAAACAAAAGCACTGCTCAGATAATCTCCATCTCCACTTAGGGATGACTGTGGGGAATTTTAGGTCAGGACTCCTGTCACTTCAGCTAAGTACTGCTGTCTCTAAACATTTCAAATGCATTTTTTCCTCAAGCAGGGCCTTGACACCAAAAAACATCAGAGACAGATGACTAATGAAGGCACAGAGAGACGGGAGACCTGTCTGTCTCTGTACAAAAGGGAGGTAAAACATTGCAAAGTTAATGCAGTCTAGTTTTACCCCTCATTGTCCATCCTGTATGCCCCATATTCCTGTATGCCAAGTATTCCAATATGGTAGAGGTAGATGTTAATTTTTTAGTTAAAAAAGGAAGTCATCAAGGATCAAAATGCATATCCTTGAGATTTTAACTAGTTACCTGTAGGTCCTATGCTGGTGGAGGTTGAGGTGAGGCTAGTTATCCCTGATTGCACAGGCCACAGCAATGGGCAGTCCACTCCATGTGCTGGCACCACATTTTCTCTCCCTTGGGTCAGTGTGTCTGAACTATGGGGGCATTGGTACATTGAAGTGTGGCCAAGGGTTCCTTGTACTCTTCAGAGAGATTTTACTCTCCCTCTTCTCTTCTTTCCATGTTGCTCCTGAAAACGTGAAGTTTCTCAGTCTGCAGGAGTAACCTTGGCTCAGGGTGATATGTTTTCCTCTGGTAGAATTTCAGTTTTCAGCCAGAGCTGATTCAGGGTATCTACAGCTGGGCCAAAGTGTTGCCTTTGGTTTCAGGCAGACTTTCTGAACATCTGTAAAGCTTTCACTTTTTCTGATAAATCATCATGTTCTTGCTATATTCCCCCTAGTTCCACCATGGAGCTAAAATAACTGAACAAATCAGCTCAACACTCCTGTTCTCTTCCAACTCTTTAATCTCCTTTCCAAAATCCATCTAAGTTTCCAACAAAGTCTTTGAACTTTAATGCTTATTTGAGAAATGACTGGTCTGCCTTTTAAAACTTTTTTTAAAAAATTGTTCTGATTTGCAGTTGCAGGAAAGTTGCAGGATAGCTGGGAACTATCCTCTCAGCTGAAATAATTTTTCTACCCTCAAAAAAAGGCATTTAACCCATTAGACACCAAGTGAACTTGCACTATTTTCTGTAAGAAAATCTCACAGCTCTTATAAGAGGATAATTAAGAATTTTTACAAAGGTTTTTATTTCTGTTATGCAGTAAACAATAAAACCGGGGTTGTTCCTGCGTTTCATTTTGCAGAACTGGGCAGAGGGGAAGGGAAGAAATGAGGCAATACAAACAGTTTTGTATTTACTTTCTTTCTTGCTTTCCCTTTAACGTGTCTCAAGTAGCGCACAGTTAACTGCTCCCTTAAACCTCACCACTCCCAAAGCAGGGGAGCAATGACTGAGCAAGTTGTATTAGTAGCTGTGGATGAAGAGACTTGTAGCTTGGCAGCCCTGTGCAAAGCTAAAATCCTTGGCTTGTCTCCAACAACAGACGTTTTCCCCTTCAAGCAATGCTGAAATGATTTTATTTTCCCGAGAGAGAAAATGCGTTACACAGGTATGGCTGACTCAGATTTTCCATGGAGCATTGCTAGTTTTCTTTCTTTAAAATCTGGAGATGGGGGATATAAGGGGATGATTATAGAGAAAATATTTTGCATTAAGCAAGTCTAGGTCTGTGTGAATAGGTTGGCTAGATGTTGAGGGTTTTTTCCCATAGGACTGTGAAAAGGTCTGTGCTTGCTCACATGAAAGGCTTTATTATCTCTCACTGCAAAAATGCAGCTATGGTTTTCTCTCCACCACATGACCTGCCAGGGCTTTCCCAAACCACACCACATTGCAGAAGCATTTTGCAGCTCTGACCCAGCCTAGCCAGAAGCTAAAGCCCTCCAGCAGTGTCAGGGAGCCCCAGGCCCCTTCAGTGGACTCTGATTTCAGCTCCTCATAAGGAGGAGGGCAGAGCTGAATCTGGAAGCCCAAGGAGGAAGCAGTGTCCTGAGCTGTCCTGAGGCTCAGCTCAGTCTGTGTGAAGTGTCCTCCAGCTGTGGATGCTGAGAGGACACTGAAGGAGCTCCTGGCAGCTCATTAACGCTATCAAAGTGTTCTACCCATCCATTAAATGGCATTACCGGTTGTGAACCCCAGCTGAGGGCTGGGTTCTGTGTGTCTGGTGTTTGTGCAGAGGGGCTGCCAGGGGCGCTGCAGGGCAGCCTCTGTGAGGAGAGCATGGGGCTGTCCTGTGCTGGACATGACCAGCTCCAGCCCATTCCAGAGGGTTCCAACAGACCTACCACATAACACAGCTGAGCCCTGCAGCCAAGATAGGGGCATCTCTGGGGAATGCAGCTGAGGAAAAGGAAAACACATTCTGTAGCAGCTGTGAGAGGGAGGACTAAAACAACAAGTGAGAGAAGCAGTCCCACAGACATTCAGCTCAATGCAGAAGAAGGGGCAGGAGGTGCTCCAGACTCTGGAGCACAGCTTGCCCTGCAGGCCCTGGAGAAGCCCCCAGTGAGGCAGCTGTGCCCATAGGGGCAGCCCGTGGATGACTGTGCTGAGCAGAAGCCCACACTGCTTGAGGACTCCGTGCCAGAGCAAGTAGATGTGGCCAAGAAGAAGTTGCAGCTTGTGGAGAGCTGGGCCTGGAGCAGGGTCCTGGCAGGACCTGCAACCCCATGGAGAGAAGACCACACTGGAGCAGTCTGTTCCTGATGGATTGGATCCTGCAGGAAAGACTTCCAGAGCAGTTCCTGAAGCACTGTCATCTGTAATCATGCTGCAGCAGAGGAAGATCAGGAATAGAAAGGAGTGGCAGAGATGAAGTATTATAAACCAACCTCAACTCCTCTGCCCCTGTGTCTGCTTTCCTGCACCACTCAGAGAGAGAAGTAGAGGAGTTAGGAGTGAAATTGAGCCTGGGAGAAGGAAGGGGTCGGGCGGAAGGTGTTTTCAACTATGTCTTTACTACTACCCTACTTTATTTTTAATTGCTAGTTAATAAAATTAACCTGCTGCAGCATGACTTTCCCTTCACATAGTGCTGCCTACTCAGTACTCAGGAAGGTGCCCAAGTCACCTTTCTGCATCCTGAACATCAGCTTAATGGAGAGAATCCTCTTGGAGGCACTCTGCAGCCTGAGCTTGCTGAAGCAAGTAGAGGTCAATATGATCAGCTGGCATGTGGACAAGAGAGACATGACCAGTGATGCAGTCACCAGTTTCTGGAACCAGAGGATGTGTTTTGCCACATCTGGTTCTCCTAGGGATCCCATGCTTTACTGTGCATGCACAAAACCATTAAAGATGATCATTTGTGCAATGATGTACAGCTTTCACTGACACAAAAGCTGAATTCTTGTCTTGCCAGGAATGTTGGGCCCCTTATTCTGGAGCAAATAGTGAGAAGTGCAGAAGGGAGCAAGGTTTGAAGCTTGTAGAAGGCAGCTGTCAAGCTAGAAGGAAAAGTATTATTCTTTACCAAGGAGCATCCACCATCTAGGAGAGGAAAGGTAAAACAACTCTATGTCTCTGTTTCCCTTTCCATGGAAGGACTTCAAAGAGGAAGGAGACTTCTCCTGGGATTCATGGTGGAATGAGAGGGAGGGAAAGAAGGGTTCCCCAGCTGAAAGGGATAGACTTGTGGTTGTGAGGCTAGGACAGGAAATGGGAGACGCAGGAAGTTTCTCAGCCAACAGCAGGGAGTTGTACCTGCATACAAAAAACCCTGATACCATGATAGCTACACAGAAAATGTGTATCTGTTGAAGATCCCATGGCTGCCTACTTGGGCTGAGCAATTTTATAAGAATGACCTATCATGTTTGTACCCAAATGTCAGTTTTAAAGTAAAGAAGAACTTGACAGAAGATTTATTTGTTAATTATGCATCAGATCAGTTCGAGTCCTACTTTGCAAAGAAATTCCTGGGATGTGCACCAGCTCTCCTCTCTGCAGTGGAGAGTAAAGTGCTCTGGCCTAGTCTTCCTCAGCAGTTGGGTTGACAATTTTCCCCAGGAAGAGGAGACCATCAGTGGTTTTGTCAATAATCAGCATCATGAAGGGCCTGTTGAAGGTGATGTGAGGAGGAGGAGAAAGCGGTAGACTGTATGGTATAAATTCTAACACAGTTGCTGCAGCAGCCTCTGTGCCATTCTCTCTGACATCCACCGTGGCCTTGTGAATTGCCTGCAAGGAAACAGAGATTATAATCTAAGTGCAGAAGAGAGAGAAGCAGCTGGGGGAAATTTTGCTTGCTTTAACACTGTGAGAAGGTAATCCTTAAAAAAAAAAAAACAAACACAGAATGAATGTAGAACTTGTGTGAAAAAAATACTAGTGTCCAGCCTTTTCAAGACAAGCAAAGTTTGCTCTGAGTTCAGGAAAAGTTTTCTTCAACAGTCAGAGTCAAACATGCCTGCTTGCAGAGACTGAGCAACATAGAGGATATTTATTATTCTGTTGTTTCTCAGAGTAACTGAGACACAAAAGAACAAAATAGAAGAACACATACTGAACACAAAAGAAGAAATTTTTCATTTTGCATCAATTTCTGTGTAAGCAAAATAGTTCTCTCTGCAAAAACAATAGTGACAAGCTTTATAGAGTGTCTTTGTGTAACATAGCCAATGGATAAGATTTTTCAGGACTTTCTGTGGTAAGTATAGCAAATTCACATTTAGGAATTCACATGAGCTGTTTCATTGGTTTTGGACAGCTCTCTGTTTTCTTCCTTCATTGTCTGCAACACATCTAAAATTCCATGTCATGAGTCTCTGCTACCTTCACCAGTTTACTTGGCTTTCCAGGCATCAACCCCGTATCTACAATCCAGGTGTTTCCACATGACATAGGGAGGAATGCGAAGAATCACAAATAATGTATGATGGAAGGACCTCTAGAGGCCATTGAATGCCACCAACCCTCCTGCACTGTGTCACCTCTGACACCAAATGAGGTTACTCAGGATTTAATCCAGTCAGGATTTGAGTATTTCAAAGGACAGAAATTTCATAAATAACCCATACTAGTTTTTGATAACCCTCATGGTGAATTTTTTAATGTAAAACCCAATCAGAATATCCCATTTTCTATCTTTTGTGTGTTGTCCCTTAATGTATCACAGTTCATCTGCAAGAAGAGTCTGTGTCCATCTTGTCTCTACCTTTCTAATAAATATCTGCAGCCAGTGCTAAGAACCCCCCCTTCACCCTCCCTTCTCCTGACTGGCAGCTCCAGCTCTCCCAGCCTCTCCTCACCCATGCAGTGCTGCAGCCACGCAGCCATCCTGCTCACCCTCCTCTGGACTCACTCTGCTCCAGGCTCTCCATGTGTCCCTTGTATTTGGGAGCCCCACACTGGATGTGTTGAACTCCAGAGGTAGTCTCACAAGTGAAGGATAGAGGGAAGGCTCACCTCCCTCATGACACAGAGCATATACTCCTTGGGACTCTAGAGAAATCATTTTGTGTGTCTGTTTTCTCATTTCTTGCTTGTGAAATGGGGCTATCCCTTTCCCACAAGTCTGTTGTCCATATAAATTCCGAAGTGCTCAGATAATGGAATAATGAAAGGTTTATACACAGTATAAGAATGACTATTCCCAGACTTATGTCGTAACTATGATTTTTGCTATGCATTTCTTCTTCAACACCAGCTTTTTGTGAAATTATTCCTCCTATGCTTTCCAATTGTTTTCTCCTTCAGAGACTTTCAGCAAAATTTGTAGGATTACTGTGCAGTAAACAATTTAATATTAAATTGTAGGAATAGCAGCCATTTGATGCCTAACCTTTTCCTTCCTTTATTACCATCATTAAACAATGACTACACTTCAGGGGTAGGATCAGACTATTTGTAGGATCAAACCTGCATACAAACAAGGCAGAAAAATCTCTTGATTACCATCTCTGCTTGCATACTTACTTTGGAAACCTTCAGAAGAAGATTTTTTGCCATTCCAGAGAGATCAGCCTGATCACTGAACACCTCTGTCACGCCCATTTTCTCAAACAGGCTCTTAACATCATAGGAACCGGAGACAGAGAATCTTGGAAGATCCAAGTAGATATTTCTTTTCAAAAATAAATAAAAATGTGAGTTTGTTATTGCAAGATCTCTTGAAGCACTATCCGTTGCAGGTATATATCCATCCCAAATACCTATGGAGCTAAGGCTTGGCTTTCTAAGACAGATAAATTTCATGTTAGAGAAGTAGAAACTGAGGTACCTGTCCCACCAGCCACAGGCTGATCTGTGGTGCAGGGGTAGAGTTATGGTTTATGAAAGTCACTAACTGGAAGGTATCATCCAGACTGGAGAAAAAAAATTAAATTTTCTTTTTAACTGGATTCCTCCTACTGAAGGCAGGTTCCTGAGGGCAATCTACCCATGTGCAGGATCCTCACAACTGGGAGCTGTGACTGGGGGAGCTGAGAGGGTTCCCCTTTGGCATGAAATTACATGACAGCTTGTCTGAGTTAAAGAAGCTGAGTAGTGTTTGTTCCTCAGAGCTGTACTTAGAACTCATAATGGTATCCTAAGCTTTACCTTTCCTGGATGAGTAGTTTTAGCCTATTCAATATTTAAACAAAGCCACAATTAAAATATTACCTTTTTTCAAATGCTCTCAACCAGTTAGACACTGTTTCTTTTAGCAGAGCATCTTCCACCTGTTTCATTGTCCCTTGATCAGGCAGAACAAAAAATGAAGTAACATTTCCTATGTATGGGATTTCTACTACCCAGCAAGACAACTTCTCATCCCTGTGGACATTAAAGTTCTTGTTTTGATGCATCATTTTGACCTTAACAGAATTCTTGGTGTCCAAAAAGAAGTCATCATCTCTCGTTTTTAAACTGTTGAAAGGACTTTCCCAGGAGCCTTTGAAAAAAAGAATGAGTATAGAATTGAAATTTAAAAAAGGGACTAATAAATACATGTCACATTAATTGATGCTTAAAATAATGTACTTGAACTGTAGAGACAGCAACAAGCCTATCTCAATTTAAGGATGCTTGTTGCCTGGCCATGGAAAGAAGCTTCATCCCTTTTCAATGGTTTAAATAAAAATCACACAATAAAAGTATAAGTTGAGGCTTGCAGTGGAAAAGAGATGAATCTTTGCCTGTTCAGATAATGGTAGATCTTTCACAGACTCCAACTATACAAGCTTCAGGCTCATTCCTTTCATGCAATTGTCATCTGTGTTTGACCATGTTCTGCACAGGCAAATACCTGTGCCTTTCAACAAATGATCATAAGTTCTGAATATCTTCAGCTCTGAACCTGGTTTAAAATTTATAAGACATTGATCAGTACTTCCGCTGGTTCTGTTATTTTCTCATTTAGAAAATGATTCTTTATACCTGTCTTTCAAATATTTTCCTGTGTAATTTAAAACCAGAATGATGTGTTTTAAATTAGATTATAAGATGTGTTCAAAATGGGAAAAAGTTTTGTTTCTTAGAACTTCCAGAGCTGATTTGTATAGCTGCTAGCCATGTCTGTCACTCACCTCTAAATAAAACGTAGTTAATGAGAACCATCACTGTTTTCGGATCAAGACTCTTGACTAAATCAACAATTTTGCCATGTGTTTTTGTTTCCACGTACATATTGATTTCCTTTATAGCCTGTGGAAGATTCTGGAAGTCACTAGAAACAGGTTCAGCATGATAAAAATTTGTGACACCATTTAAAAAGTTTTGAAGCAATTCCACTCGGCTGTCTACAAACAGGGCATTGCCCATGTTCAGTTGGTCTTCTCGGTGAGGGTCATTCAGCATCTGGAGGATACGCTGAAATCCCTCATGAATCTCCTGCTCCTCCATCCGCGTCAGGTTGAAGGCAAGGCCTTTCTGCAGCTCTCTGAGCGTGTTTGATCTGGCTCCCAGGGTGAGCATTGCAAAGGCAGTGCAGATACTCAAAGGAGAGAAGAAAATGTTCCCATCCCCCATGTCATCTCTGATCTGCTTGTAAAGCTTAAATGCAAAGTCAGCATTGCTGGGGGCTAGCTTGACATAAGGCAAGTTTTCATGATCAGCCTGGGACTGGTCTGCTGGCACTGGTGTTTGTTGTACCTGCTGTTGACCCTGGACTTGAACTCCAAGAAACAGCAAACACAAAGACAATGCAGACTTCATTGTCCTGAACAGTCCTGTTAAGAAAGAACAAATCAACTTTTAGATCTAGAGAAGTTTTTCATTACTGGATAAAAAGATTTTGTATTCCAGATACCGATTTTCAGATATCAGTCATTAGAACTACTCTTCTACTTGGCCTCTGGAATGCACTGGCCTACAGTTTATTTCTAGTCAGTTCTCTTAGTTTGTGACCAAGGAGCAAAGAAAATAAGACAATAATCTGGCGTTGCCAGGGAAGAATCAGCTTTCCTGAGGTATTATGTGTGAAATAGTTCTTGCTTCTGAATAGCATGGCCTCAGTGCATTCCTCAGTGCCTTGGGGTGCATGGCTGAGCTCCTGTATTGGCACCCATCTGTCTGGTGAGTACTGTGACAGAGAGACCAACTTTTGCTGATATGTTTCTGTGGTACCCATGGTCTTGTTATGACTTCGGTTTTCAAGCCTTGAAGAGATAGTTATAGCAGTTTATAAAATCCACCTAAATGCTCAGCCCTTAAACTGTTTTTATATTTCTTCCTCTTATATAACAGCTCTGACTGAAGACCTATATTATTTCAAGACTTTACCTTAAGTGTTTCAGCAAATTGAGGATAAATTGATAAATGTTTTTTGACACTCTATATTGCACATAAGCTATCCATAAAATTGCAAAGCTCAAGACTCAGGAGCTGAGGAAAAGCTACAGTGGAATCTGCCTTGCTGTGTATATGTAATTTGATAACCTTTCCTTTTCCTTCAACCAACATAAGCAAATTCTACATAACCCCACAGTCTCTCTTCTGTCCTTCTGGGGGAGGAATCCTGCAACATATTGGAGAAGAATGCTCTCCATTTAGTACCACACCTGAATTACCTCAAATGACAGAAACTTAAACCCATGAAGCAAGCAGTGGCCCTCAGGGAAATAGAGATGATCTGAATACTGATCTTACCAGCCGTGTACTTATCCTGGAGAATGAGATTCTGCCCAGAATCTGCCTCAGGCTGTGTGTCTAATACCAGGTTCAGGTCTTGCTCCAGACTTATGGGGAATTGTTATTTTCAGGTTTCCTCTTTTCTGGATATCCATTATGAAAAACTGGAGATATAAGGTGTTAAAGTGCTGAGTATGGGAGCTATACTCAGCATGTCTAAAATGTTGGGTATAAACACTGACGCAGGGAAAAAAAAAAAAAAAAAAAAAAAGGCATTCTAGCTTAATTTTGTTCTGGTAATTATTCACTTCATAATTCCCCAAATCTGCCTTTGAGAGAGACTGATTTCTCTTCCAGGCCACTTGACTGCAAGTAGCCTGGTCTTTAAGCATTCTAGACAGAAATGAAGCTACTCTCATTAGCCCTACATCAACCTGGGATAGTTGGGACATTGAGATTTCAACTAAATTTATTCCTCTGAGAGCAGAGACAATGCTTTGTTCTGCATCTTGGTACTGATTGTTGGCTGTTCGTTTTGGACTTCAAATCCCTATCATCCTGTCACTATATCTAGGAGATGGATTGCTGAATGAATTTTGTTTCAGACATTCAGAAAATGCTTCCAGAAGCTGAAATAATTTCCAATTACTGTACAAAACAAATTAGTCTCAGCAGTAAATAGAAGGGATCACACACAGCATAAATTCAAAGACTTCTAAGAAAGTATAATATGGTACTTACTGTGCTGGACTTTTCTTTCACAGTGCTTCTTCCCTCATTCATTTGCTTTCTAGTATTAAGTTAACGTCCCCTGGTAAAGATTAAACAGGACAAATAAGAGTTATTTGCAAAGCAAAGATTAAGTAAACTATTTTTTTCTGGATATCAAATATTTAAAGTCTTTTTCCCATCACACAGCCAGAATGACGCCAGCACCTAGGGCTTTAAAGGGAGAGAAGGATCAGAAACTTTGCTACTCTTGGCTCAAGCTAAACTGTATGTAAAATTGCTTTACCAATAACTGTGGTAAATCAGTTCCTGAAAATAGAACATGAGGAGAACTGGAAAGATAAGAAAAGGCCAAGAACATGGATGCCCTGTCCCAGTGAACTTTCTGCACAGGATACCCTGATGTAACAATACCATCTAATTGAGTACCCAAGGCAAGTTTGTTCAGGTACAGCTCCACCCTGCCCTAAATGGCATTATTTGATGGGCTCAGAACACTGGTTAGCTTTTTGAGGGACCATTGATGAGTATTTTAGAAACTACTAAAGAGTAAAAAGCAAAGCACAGCATAGCTTGAAAAATAACTGAAATAAGAAAACAAATGAAAGAATGAAATAGGTAAACTTTTCCACAGCAAAATCTTAACTGGGGAGAAGAGAGAAGACCTTATAACCCCTTGTGCATGGGATAAGCATGAATTACATACATATCATATGTATCTTACACCAGGATCCCTCTCAGAGGAAGCTGAAGCAGGCACAATTTAGCTATTTAGAAGGTTATTTAAGGATCAGGTGCACATGGCACTTATCCTAATTAGCAATGACTAATTATTTCCATTGAATGTACATGATTTCGCCCCAGGTAAACTTAAAATTTATCTACACATAGGAATCAACCATCATTGTTATTGCTATGTAACTACTCTCTCTTACAAGACAGAGGGAGGGTTGGTTAGACTGTATTCCTACAGAGAGGTTTTTTTTATGTACAAGTACCCAGAAAGTTTATTGCAGTATTATGTAAAATGACGAAGTCTCCGGAGTAGCAAGTATGCTGTTGCTTAACTCTAGCAAAGACAAGATATTTCTCTCAAGCCTAGGCCTGCCTACATAGATAGCATTAATCTTTCAGCCTAGTTCTAATGCTTGGCTAACCATCTAAAGGATGCCACTGTTTCTTGAGAAGAATTTCTTGGAATAGCAAAGCAGCTGCATTGATTCCTGTCCTTTCTCCCAGGAGATGCAGCAGCACACAGCATGTCAGGGAGAGAGTGGAAAGTTGCTTCTGTCCTTGCTCACAACTCCCAGGCACCAGATCCTCTGAGCCTGGCCCAAGTGTCTTCCTAGACCAGGTTAAGACCCAAAAATGACCATTTTCAAAGAATCAGCTTCCCAGCAATTCCAGACAGGTCAGCATGGTTAATGAACCTGTCACGCCCAGTGCTTTGAAAATCTCCCTTAGGTCATAGGCGCCAGAAATAGAGACTCTTGGATAATATATGTTGCATCTGTTGAAGGCAATGGAAAATGAGGGTGAATTACCCCATACAGTCACACGTATCACCTGCATGTCAGCCAGGAAAAACACAGGGAGAAGAAAGCAGTTTGTTACTTCACTGCACATTCCTGTTGTTGAAAATGGCTGTGTCCACAGAACATGGGGATATGCAAGGCCAAATTAGAAATTTTGTGTAGTTTTGCAAAGGAGAGCCATCCAAGGGAATTGCACAGAAGACAGTGTGGAGTTCCTGGATGCTTTGGGATCAGTGGTGTCTGGGACAGGGGGACTCTTGCTCCAGGAACCAGGGCAGCTGTATAAAGGACTGACAGACATGCTTTTCCCATTGGCCTGATAATGGTCTACACGGAATGAATTAAGGAATAATTTAATTATCTCTCTTTCTGCTCTCCCTGAATCTGCTCAGTTATGCAATGTGTCTTGGTTCCTCCTTACAGGAGCAGTTTCATCCCATATCATTAACTTATTTGTGTTGCTGCTTGGTCATCAGAGTATCATATTTCAGTTGCTGCTTGGTCATCTGATTATTATATGCTGGTTTTGCTTGTTATATTTGAGGGCTTTCCAGGGCGAAGGATTTCTGACTGTATAAACAAAAGATCAGTAAGATAAATGTGTACATTGCATGATAAATCGTCATGCAGACATTTCTTGTTCCCGTATAAAGATGTATCATTCAAGGTATGTCTACAAAAGTTCATTTAAATTGACTTCTTGACATATGTAGCTCCCTTAAAATCAGGAGATTGGTATCATTGCAAAACTGGCATAAGTAGTATAAAAATCAACTCCTTTCAGTAATTTTATATTTTTCTGTAGAGGGCATCCCAAATATACTTTTCATGTCGTAGAAATACTTCATCCTTTACTCCTCAAATAATGAAAGTGCTCCCATTTCAAAAACCAGCATGACTAACAGAAAGAAAAAAAGCTAAAGGCTAAGCAAAAGTCTGTGACAGAATTGGGAATAGAAACTAGACCTTTTCTACTTTGTTTTTAGCTTGCCTCACCAATGCAGTAGGAATCTTTGAATTGAATTTACATATAAACTGTAGACATCTGCTAGAAGAAAGCTGTATAAGCAAAACCAAATACTCCATTTTTCCTTCTGTGCTATATCTCAGAAGAAAATAAAGCCTTTTTTTAATCAGGTATGATTCCTTTTCTCTTAACAGACATTTTACCTCAGATGATTATTTCATCAGTGTTCAGAAAATAATCTCCTAGCACTGAATGAAAAAGTGTTTCCAAAAGCATACAAGCATTTAGGCTCTGATGTGAATTCCATTGAAGACAATCAGCCAGCACTGTAATGCTCAATATGGGTCATCTGTCACTGGCAGCTCATCTTAGATTTTCCTGATATATTTTCCATTAGGTTCGCAGATAGTAGAGTTGTAGACATATCTGACAGTACCAAAGCTTTTCAAAACTAGTTGTTAGAAGTTTTATAAAAACCACTCAATTAAAACAGGGGTGTAAATAAGTAATAGTAAGTAGACCAAAATTTTGCTCTCAAAATGTATCTTAGCTTGACTTTCTCTTTTCAAATGATACATCAAACTCAAGTAGTTAGGACTACAGATCAAAACCCTGAATTAATAACATTGGTACAAGAACTTAGAGATGGCATGTGTAACTCCCAGAATTAAAGCAAATGAGAGAAAATGAAAATTGCTGTGCCCTCCTGAGTGCCAGTGAGGTCAAAGGCTGTCCCTTCCAGCACCTGAGCCTGACTGGTGGCTCCAGAGACCAGGGAGAGCAGAGCAAAAGCAGTAGAGAAGCTGACCAGGGAGAAGAAAACACTTGCAACGTTCCTGGGCAGTCATTTGCCTATAAAACTATAATGAAGATTGCGTGTTTCTGAGGGCTATCCATTGGCACCACCCGAAAGGATCTCCATTGTGGGCCTGCTGCTCCTGTGGAGCTTAGTTTTCTTACTCTTGTGGCCACTGAGCTGTTGACAGTTAAGGACAACAGGCTCACACGCAGCAAAGGAGCATTTCATGCAGTCATGGATAAAGAAAAAGTAAAATTGTAATTTCATATCTGGGTACCATGCCAAAAGCAACTCCTAAATTCATCCATCTGGCCCTTTGAGAACTTCTATAGTTATTACTTTATCAGGTTATAGTCACATTCATCATTCTGATTTGTCAGTAAAATAACTTCTAAACATTTTAGCAATCAAAAAAAAAGAGTTTCCCTTTGGTCTGACACTGTCTTTGACAATGAATTGATCACCTAGGATTTGATTATATCTCTCTGGCCCAGCACTAATTTGGCAGTAGTATTACTGCAGTCGTGCTCTGCTTTAACATCGCTGCCAGGTCTGAGGAGTGGGGAGCTATGCTCTTTATCACCTCCCTCTCTGCCTGCTCTCTCTGCCTGCCCCTGCACAGCTGTTGGAAGGATATCTGCATGCTGTTGGCCTTGGGTGCTGAGCCTTTCTCAACAAGGGGTCCACCTGCCAAAGGAGACTCTCCAATGGCCTTTTTCTGCCAGCTTGTTCCAGTTTGCAGCATCAGGCCACACTTAGCAAGCAGCTGGGTCCTGGAGCTAGTAACAGACTTTCTGGATTGTAACAAAAATCTTGGTTTCAATATTTTTAAGGAGGAAAGGGGTTAATGGACAATGCCTATGCTTCCACAGTAAGTTGTATAACATTTTAAATTGTGTTTGAGTTCATTTATATTACAACATAATAGAATTAAACTTTCATATTTTATTCTTCATGGTAGTTTCCATGTGCCCAGCTTTGAAGTGTTTTTGGTAACTGCATCATCAAAGTGTTGCAGTATCATCTAAGGAACAGCACAAATCCTTAATGAGGAGCAGCCTTTTAAAATAAGCACTCACACTTACTGTGAAAATAAGCATACAGAATTACAGCAAATGCACAGGACTAGTCAGGAGAGACCACCCAAACACGTCTGTGCTAAGTACGTGGGGGTCTCGCAGTCTGTGACTTGATGTAGTTTTGAAGGGCGTTTGTTGAACTGCCGGCACATCGTGGCCTCCAGCTCCCTCATTTCTGAGAAGTAGTTGTTAAGGCCTATCAGCATCACCTGGAACTTAGTGTTATTCAAAAAAATGCAAATTGAGAGCAGAGAGGGAGCTTGTAGGGCTGAGTGATGAAGGGACACTTTCCCACTCCCCAGTTGTTCACTCTGGCTCCATTTGTCCCAGTACACAGAGCAGTTTTGGGGAACAGACCTGGCCATCAGCCTGGTGACACATTCTTATACTTTTGGTACAGTTCAGACACATGCCACCATATGATTCTTCCAAACAAGTTCTAAGCATGTGTTTGGAGTTAGCACAGGCCAAGAGCCATTTCCAAGAAGTAGATGGGATGACTTGCAGGGTCAGAATTAAGCAATGTGGATACAACCTGTGTCCAGGCAGCTGACCTCTGACCTGTATCACAGGTTAGAGAACAGACCTTAGGGCTCTTTATTTACCAGCATAGAGGTAAACTCTGGAGATAGGATTTATCTCAATGTTTGGTTTCTTCCCCTTCCAGGTATTCATATCCTGTCCTCTTTGAACGTCCACTTACAAGAAATACAAGATTAAATCTCTAATGGAATGCCAGTAGAAGCTTCTGGATATCTAGCCAAAACATTTCCCAGCACTGCTTCCACACAGGGTGTTTGTGTAGAGTTTGTTTCATTAATGGCCATCTCAAGGAAGCCAACACAATGTGGGTGGATGCCATCAGCTGTGAATGTCCTAAAGGAGAGTATGGAATAAGACTTGACCTTCAAAGGAAGTGCCTAGGCCTGGTCTAAAGTGACTGACTCTCCCAGTGTGTAATTTGCAGATATGCCCTCCTTCTACTGGAAACCCTACCAATGCCAGAAGCCAACCTGTAGTTTGCAGATAATTCATTTGGATTTATCCACTCAAATTTTATTTACTTACAGTATTTCAACTGAGTGTCTCAGCTAGATATTACCTTGCTTTTCAAAGATGGCACTGATCACTAAAAGGCTGATTTATCAAATGCTTCACAATTCACTAATAGGTTTATCTCAGTGGTTATTCTCTACGGAAGGACGAAGCAAAAAGAATTTTTCTAAGAAAGACTGCACTTTTCCTGATTTTTTTGGGAAAAATAAAATTGTTAGTAAGTGTTGGGATATAATTTTAATGACAATGGACAATAATTCCATAAAATGCAATTCAAATAAAAAAGACCAGGCGCTGACCAGTCATTTTTCAGTTGGGTTTACAATTTTTCCCATGAAGAGGATGGTCTGAGGATACTGATCAACAATCAACAGCAAGAATGGATGATTGAATTTAACAATGGGAGGAGCAGAATAAGGAAGAAAATCTATGCTGCTGGCTGCTGCAACCTCTGTGCCATTCTCATGAAACTTCAGCAGGGCCTTGTGAGTAGCCTACAATAAAATACAGCAAGAATTAATTTATGTGGAAGATGTGGTGTGAAATTATTCAAATTAACACAAAGTTAATTCAACTACTGCCTTTCAAAAAAATTGCTGGTAAGACAGGAACCAGGAAGAAGGACCCTACAGCTCATTGTGTGATTTTCAGCAATGTTGTCTCAATAAGCAAATATTTACACATTCAGCTTTCCTCACCACAACTGGGATTAATGCAGAGCTGAGCAACTGCACACCTTGTGGAATTATTTGAAAGTAAAATAGCCACGCAAATTCAAAGGGAATGTCATTTTCAAAGGGAAAGGAAATGGGGCTCCAGAACTGCTCTGTAAGTATTCCTAACAGCAAATGCACTACAGCTTACAGAAATTCAACCTGGCTACCAAATTTTTGGTTAAGTTATTGTTGGGCATGTTTAATCCTTTTCTTTTACTAGTCCCAAAATGCTAGAAGATTGTAAGTGATGTTTTCAGAATGGCTATAAAAATGCTAGTTTTTAACTTTACATTATTTTCAGTAAATGGGATGTTTTCCTCAAGTCTAGTCCATTTTATATTTTTAGCACTCAACAGAGCCTTCAATGGTGACAGCAGTTTCTAAATCCTTTAAAATTATAGAATGCATGTTAGAAAAAGGCCACTTTTTCTAACATGCATTAACCACTTTTTTGGTGGATATGCTGATGCAAGACATGCCCAACACAGTTACTCATAGGCAGTTCTTTTACATGCAGAATATATGTTGTGTTTAGTTTCCTGGTTAAATGCTAAACCCACCCCTCCATCTACCCTCCACCTTTGCTTATAAGACAAAAGAAAATATCCTTATCTCCAGATCTTGGAAAAGTCTGAGGAAGTTTAAAGGGACTTTATCAGCTAAATGTTCTATTTCAAGTATTAGCTAGCCCTAGCAATAACTAAAATTTCATGGGTGAACTTAGGGTAAGGCAATTAGCTGTTAAGGAATCCATAGATGGCTGTTTCTGCTGATAAACTTACTTTTGAAACCTTCACAGCAGGGTTTCCTGTGATTCCAGACAGATCAACCCAATTAGAAAACACATCAGTTACACCCAGATTCATTAAGATCCTCTTTAAGTGATAGGTGCCTGAAATTGATAGTTTTGGAACACACAATTCCATCCTCCTGTCAAAAGTAAATTATGGTAGTTCTTGCAATCAGAAGATGCCTTGGACTGAAGATTCCTAACTTGATGGTGGTTCTTCTGTGCTAAAATGCTAGTTTTTCATCTAAGAAACGTGACAAGAAAAAGAAGATAGGAAGATGCTGGTCTGGAGGATAGAAAAGTATGGAAGGAGAAAGACATCAGTTCATATTTCTTTTATAATTCTGCAACACAGTCACTTTCTGAGACAGTAAACAGTAGTGTTGCCAGAATTTTTGGGACAAAGTTTGATTTCTTTTTCAAACCTTGAAGGTTCTGCTTTTGGAATTCACACCCCATTCCCTCTGAGGGATCTGACTGCTATGTCACAGTATTACTACTCAAAATATTTAGCTTGAGACAAAGGAAATGGTGCTACTTAGCATCAACTGAAAAATGTATGAGGGAAAAAGAATTAAATTTTCTCAGAAATCTCTTCTTTCATCACAAGGCAATTTCCCAATTTTTCTGATTCTAATTTTTGCTGAAAGTATCAAATCATTTGGTCTGATCCTTTATACTACTTCTATTGTTTAAACCTCCCATCAAAAATACAAAATAGTAATTGTAAAACCTGACCATAGCATTCAGACTTTGGATTCTGACTACCTCGATTCATCAAATCAAAATTCTATATTTACCATCTTTGAAGAGATCTTTGCCATTTAGAAACAGTGTTTTTTGTCAGGATATGTTCCAACTGTTCCTTTAATGGGCAGGATAAACAATGCTGTAACATCTCCCTTGTAAGGAATCTGCACCACCTCCCAAGACAGCTTCCTGTCAGAGTAGGCTTTATAAAATCCATCTCAAATCATCATTTCCACTTCAACTAAGGTCTTTGCATTCACATGGAAAAAGTCCTCGTGAGTCCCCTTAATATTGAAAGGATTTTCCCAGTAAGCTTAAAACCAAAAGAGAAAGAATGGAATTGAATACTTATTTCAGTGAGGATATATTAATATTGTTCAGACTAAAGTACAATAAATAAAACTATATCTGAATATTTACACTTGGAAATAAAAAGCATTCAAAGTTTATTAAATGTCTTATTCTCGGTAATAATTAAATACCACAGGTTAAATTTTGTGTGGATTTGTACACAATCTTTCTAAGTCAGATAAATTAAATGAAGTAACTTCATAATAATATCTTATGTTTTATTTGAAGCAAATGAAAACTGACCAGAATCCAGGGATTTTGCTGTTTTCAGAATATTGCTTATAAAGCAAGTTTCACAGCAGATGTCTTGCTTTTAAAAGGTAGCATGTTATGCTCCTCACATGGTTTTTTATATGTTTTTCACCTTGTAGCACTAAGGAAAAGCTTACATACTAGAGAAACACAAACTTTTGGACCTGAACATTACTGCAGTATGGTAAATGGAATAGGGCCTCAAGGTCTTTAGTCATCAAAATGCTTTGGCCTTTATGTTTATTCAATTGAATTTTCTATGATATTTTATTTTGTAATAAAAAAGGTCATTCACTAAACAAATAGACTGGGATTACAACTTGCCATTCTGTAAGTATATTTTTTTTTGCTTTCTTTTTTTTTTAATGTTGAATAGAGATAGCCTAATTTGAAAAATAAATAATGGACTGTAAATGCCACAATATTCTGGTCACTTTATAAGTTTAAGCCTTCTCCCTTGCTCTCCAGGAAAGAAATTTACTATGGTATGGTGCTCAGACTAGGAAACTTGAGATTAGGTCACCCAAATTTATAAAGTACTTGAAATAAAAAGCGTTTTTTTATTTTGCTAAAAGTTCATAATTTCCAAATATTTTCCAAATATTCCTTTCTGGGTGGGAAGTTCCTTGTATGTTCTGCATGCTGGTACAAATGAACACCCAAGAAGAAGTTAATAATTTCCAAAGCAATACATTCAAATACCTCTTGGGATGGGTGTAATATGATGACAACTCTAGAGGTACCTACCCATGTAATAGTCATGGACTGTAAGTAAATTAAAGGTTTTGGCAATTTTTGTTAATCATCATCTTCTTCGGAATTTAGTTTTCTAATTCAAACATACAATGTGAAAACATTTTGATTTCTAAACTAATAAGTGGATGAAGTCTGACAGGATAATTTAACAATGCACAAATTCTCTGTCGATTCCCCGAGCCTGAATATTGTAAGCAAATGAACTTTTATACTTAGAAATCTAAATATATGCTAGAAAAATTTGGATGTGGAAGAGGTTTCAGAGTTGAAAACTTTTGGTTTTTTTCATAATAGTTTCATCTAAATACATTTATTTTTAAATTATTCAAAAATAACTTGGTGTACTTGTTTTACTTCAGGTGAAACAGCACAAAACAGATGCAGTAAAGAGCATCTATGTAACTTACCTTTGAAATAAATGTAGTTAACTATTACCATCAGAGCGCTTGGATCAAGCTCCTCAAGTATTTGGTTTATATTCCCATGGGTTTTATTCTTTACATAATCATTGATCTCTTTTTTAGCTTCGGTGGAATTCTGGAAGCTAGTAGAGACAGCTTTTCCTCTGTACAGTTTTTTTATGTCATTCAGAAACGTTTTCATTGGCTTCAGGTGTTTGTCCATGAACAGGGTGTTGCCCATTCCAGCTGCACTGGGCTGCCAGGTGGTTCAGCATGGGGAGGAGCTGAGGAAAACCATCACGTATCTCCTCCTTGTGGATGTTGGTGAGGTTAAAGGCCAGGCCTCCCAGCAGCTGAGCTTGGCTACTGCCTCGGGAGCTCAGGGCCAGAAGGGCAAGGGCAGCAGAGATGCTGACTGGGGAAAAGAAAATGTTCTTGTCAGGTTCTTGAGTAGTTGCTTGCCTGTAAAATTAAAAGGCAAAGTCTGTATTGCTTGGGATTATCCTTTGGCAGGACTCAAGAGGATCTGCCTCAAGAGAATGCTGCTCCTGGGGTCAGTTGCCTCAGGCTGGTCCGTGTGGTGATCAGTCTGGGTCAGACTGTGGACATTGGGGTGAAGCATGGCCACCTGCAAGCACAGTGGGAGCATGGCCTTCATCATTCTTCACAGACACTGTGTGGACAAAGAACAAAAGTTGGATGCTGGAGGCTGGCTGTATAGACACCTCATCTTTCATTTCTCTCTGCTACTGCCTTCAAGTGGAAATCACTGTTATATCTTGACCTATTTAAATCCTTGTGCTTCTGAATTTACCTGTAATTCCTATCCATTGCTGCCTGCTTCAGTTCTGCTTTAGCTACAAAAGTTCCTTGTTAGTGGGGAAAGAAACATGTGAGTATTAAAGAAAAATAAGAGTCCAAGGGAGAGAAGTAGTGAAAAGGGTTTTTGTTTCATTTTGTTTTGTTTTTTAAATGACAAAACAACACATTAGAAGCCTTCTGATTAACTATTTTGTGCTTATCTCCTAAATCCTCTGGGGATTATTATGCTGTTAGCATACGAATGATTATGTTATAAAATAGTGCTACACTGCTATATCAACGGAAAACAATACGAGATTGCAGAATTCAAAAGTCCTATTTTCTCTTATTTCTGACTCATTTTACAAAGCAGCTAATCGTAAGAGCTAGTAAAATTTTTCTGCTTCAAAACCTGATTAAATAGGAATACGTTTGTCTATTTTAAATGACCACTCATGTGCCACTTGTCTTACAGATGGGTTCCTTCTTATAGGAAGGTGAGACCATTAGTGTGGACTTGGCCTCTCCTGTCTTTCCAAGCTTCGTATCAGCAGGAAAGTATTCTTTTGTAAGGTAAATATATGCCTTAGGCCAGAGCAGTGCTCAGCAGCAAGACTGGATCAGGACATCTTGGACATTTGTAGTGACTGTGACCATTTTTTTCTTTCTTTGTTTACTGCTTTCTTTTTTACCAATTAAACCAAGAACATGCTGGGATGATTTGTGGTGTCTAAGATGCTTTACCTCTCAGAAAACAAATAAGAGCTATTCCCATTAAAAATATTGTACCAGTGACTAGAAAAGCTCCAAATAGTCTTCACCTAATGTTCTGCTTGAGACAGCACTGCTTCAGGCAGAAGATCACAAGCTACCTGCTTGCCCCCCATTCAATATAAAGGCATTCAAAGACATGGATTCAGCAGAGCAGATGAGATGTTTACTGGGATTCTCTCCACCCTGGCACAGCACTCTGACCACCAAGATTTGGATGAAAAGGAGCCAGCTTGTCTTTCTGCAGCTTTGTTCTGTGTGATCTGGGTAAATTGGAATTTACAGAGGACATTGGCATAGCAAGATCAGTTTGTGAATTCTGTCTGAGTCATCTTAGTGTATGCAAGACATTTACTCATTCACTTCAGTTTTGGTTATCTGATTGTAAGCTTTAAGGAAAATTAGTAATGATAAATAAAATTGACAGTTGAGGATTCAGAATACTTCTGTTATTGAAGCATATTTTTTCTAGATGTTTTTGATCTATTTGGGATAAATATTCAGAGTTATACTCTGTGGAGCTGCTGTAATGAATCCCCAGAATTTGCTATTCAGTATTTCTTGAAATTAAGTTCAGCTGTCATTTGAATACTTAGAAACTAAGTTTCACCTTTGAAAGCAGATGTGCTTTATGACTCACTTAGCTAAATACCATACAGCTGGGTCAAAATCATTATGGTAAATATAACTGGGTACTTACTTTACATTCAGAGGGCTCGTGCTCTCAGTGGGCTGTGCTGTTTCTTGCTGCTTTACTCGTACTGCTGTTTTCCTCTGTTAAACATTACATGGCTTCAGATACATATTACCTAAAAGCACAGAGCTGAATGCTGATGAATCCAGTGTTCTTGGACCTTGTATGCATATGTCCACATCTCTTCACTCCAAACAGAGAAAAGACCACTGGGCCCAGGCTGGTCAGTAGAACACAGTATTACATCCCAAAGGGTTTGCAATTCCTAAGCAAATATTTATTGGAAATGACACTTTGGTGTCAAGAGCAGCTACTCTGCCCTGTGTGCTACCTGAGATGAATATAACCATTCATCTGGAAGCACAATTTTGCCCAGCACTAAGCTCTGAAGGCAGGGTGAGGGAGCTACAAGGAGCACCACTCGTCCTCAGTTACCCAGCTTACTGGACTCCACTTAAGTGTCAACATCTCATCTTTTATTTCTACACAGTAGAAACCCCACTGGTTGCTACTCAGAAGCCAATGAGTAATGAGCAATGGCCTCATAAATAAAGAGGGTGCCTCATTCAGTCTTGTAGGAATGGTGAATTTTAGATCTGTGGCAATTTATTGAATGGTCTCTTCACAATCAAATGGTTCTTTCTGTGTCTCTATTAAGGACCACCTAGCCTTTCAAGATCTGAACAGTACTTAATGTAGACTTCAGCACTTGCAAAACCTGTATAAAATTTGCTGCAAGTGCCCAAAGACAATCCTGAACAAATGCGACTGCTGTAAGGTATACGAGCAGCAACCTAGTCTCAAATGCATCAAACAATAGCAAATGATGGGAGAGAGTAACCCAGAAAAATTAACCAGTAATAAATAAAGGCAGTCTCAATCTGTGAGTCTCACCCTTCTTCTAAAGATATATTTCCCAAGAATCTTCCAAAGGAAGAGGAAGATAAGTGCTGTGAAGCAGGTTTACCACCATTCATCAATGGATGAGATGTTCAGATTCATGGTTTGATCAGATAGCCAGGAGAATGCCTGGTTCGTCTTTCTATGCCTCTGCTACACTTTGCAGAGACAGCACAATCCCCTTGATGCTGTAGAACCAAGGAGCTGTGTATGTAAAACTGTGTAAGCACAGCAGTTCCCAGCTATGCTGCTTTCAGAGGTCATTCTTTACCTGCTGGGATCCATGGCCTTGGCCACGCAAATAGGTTCCCTGCATGGTATTTAGACTCAACACTTTTTTTTCCCATTTTCCTTTTTTTTTTTTTTAATTTCAGAATATAGCTTAGCACTGCATGTTTGCTTTAGATGCAGCCAACGTTGGCTGTTAAGTATTTTGATTTTTAAATTTGTATTTTTTCTTATTAGAGTACCAATTGCTGTTGTCCCTTGGAGCACTTGTGAAGGTCAGGTGAGGCTTGATGGAATAGCCTGTTTTATTTTTTTGCCAGCCACAAACACTCTTCATTTAAATTGAATGAATGTATAAGCCAGAATGCCCAATGGCACAAATGCAGTCTTTCAAGGAGAATGAGAGAGGTGCTCATGGTGCTCCAAGACAGGCTGTTGGTGCTTCTGGGCACTTCTTTAGTCATAGATGTGAGCAGCATTAAATATTTGCACTTCTGTTAAACATTACATGGTTAAAAAAACTCCAACAGTCTGAGGACACAGATAAATGCTGTTGTAGCCATGCAGAGAAGATAGAAGTCAGTGCTTGCTGGGCCAGCTGGTTTTCATGTTTGTTGTCCCCAAACATGCATAACAGCCATCTGCAAACACACTCTGAGGAGGAGAGGTCCATGGCCATGAGCAGCTGTACTGCCAGATACACCTCCCTAGCTTATTGCCAGCTAGTGACACCAGTGCTAAGGCATCTCCTGAAGTGTGGTATGGCCTGCACTGCAGCTTTAGATTCTTGATCATGCAGCTTGGGCACCTGCTTCAACATGGTACTAAGAAAAGCAGATCAGAAGAGGTAATTAACACATAACTTCTTTTTTTTTCCCCACAAATGAACTTGGAAGCAGTTCAGAAACTGTCCTACATTTAGAGGGTTTCTTTGAGCCTTGGTTTGGTCACAACAGAGGAGGAACCCTGGGCAATGAGCTCCACTGTGCAGGGCCAGCTGAAGCAGAAGGTAGCAGGAAAGAGACAGTGCTGTAAAGAATGATACTGCAAGCATTGGGGCTAATTCTGGATTCCCTCTATGACTCTGAGGTGAACCAAAACATGCTTCTGTACAGTGAGAAAACTGTCAGAGACACAAACACAATTTTTTTTGCTGTTCAGACATTTATATGTATTAGCCTCTTGTTAAAAGTCAGCATGGACTGATTTTTGAAACTCTTTCAAAATCTGCTTCTCTTTGTTTCAACTGTCCTTGTTGTCATGAGGTGGTGGCTTGAAGAAGAGATTCATCATCCTACCAGGAAGGTCAGCAGAGGTTCTCCAAGCCAGCAGCTGCTCCACCCTGGGCTTGCTTCTGGAGACAGTAATGCATTGAGCATGCCTACATTGCTACTTTGTTTTACACCTTAGTTCCTTCTTAAAAATATTACTCTAGTCCTACTATTTTATTCAAAATAGTTTTAAAAAAGCCACCTAGCTCCTTTCATCAGCAAATACTCAGCATGCCTTGCCTACAGTTCCAACCATGCCCTGCTGCTTGCAGTGCAGACCATCACTCTATAGAAAGGCAAAACTCTCTGTACAAAACTCTCCTGTAATTCTGGGCACTCTGAAGGAAAAGTAATGGCACTGTCTCAAAGCAGCAAAATGTCAGTCTTAGCTGAGGAGGGACCTGGACAAATACCAAAATTCCCCATTGCTTACCCTGGCCCCAGACTCCGGCTGAGAGGATGCAGTGACCGTGGGGGAGCCGAGGGGTGGTGGCTCTGGGGCAGTAGTCAGAGTTAGTTTGAAGAACTTACCTAAAGTATGTCTTGAAGTCATACATGGTTGCAGTCAGATTTTCCCATTAATTGCTATTCTTGCAACAGGACTGAGAGGTCTGCCCAGCCCTGGCCTTCCAGTCAGCAGGGAAGGAAGAGGGATGCATGGAAGGTAAGCCACGCTGTTTTGTCAGGGCTCACATAATTTTTCCTGCATTTGTTTCCCCACAAATATTTTTCTTAGCTCTGTTATCCCATTTGACAGAACCCACGTGCTCATTTACAGTGTAGATGGAGATTAATGTCAGGAACTTTTTGCTTTTATGAGTCTTTAGTAATTTGCATAATTTGAGAGGTAAACTTATAAATTTCAAATGATGATAATAGGAGCTACAGATGATGAGTGGTATTGTGAAATTATCCAAGAGGAACATAAAGCTATGATTCACATGTCAGTCAAACATAATATGGTAGGAGTTCAGTTTCTGACTGATATTAAAATCATTACTTCAGGATAATGAATTTTGTATTTAATAATTTTAAAGCGTATTCAAGATTTTCTCTAGTTTTCTTTTAATATTTATTTATGTAAAAAGCTATCTCAATTATAGAAGCACAGTGAGAAACACAAAGAGATGTGCAAAATTGCTGTGTTACCATTTTCATATTTCAAAGCCTTGAAAATAATATTTTAAAGCCTTGAAAATAATATTTCAGAATTAAAGCCTCAGGAAAGAAAGGAGATGATGCCATTTTGTTTCATTCATTAAAGTATCAAAAGTTTCCTTTCTATTTATTGTATTTATTGAATCTGAGAAGAACCAGAATTTATGTGTCAAATACAGAGTTTTCTGTGTTATGTGGAAAGTGAACTTCTTAAATATGGAAACAGATTTCTTAAATCTATGTTTATGGACCAAACAAAAAATGTCCTAATAATCAGTCTGTACTTCATGGATTTGGCAGATGTTTGGAATAAATGTTAAGGTGTTTGATGTTTGCTGGCCAAGTCATGTTTTTATCCAAGAGCCCTGTTGTTAATAAAAGAGTGTAATTTTAAAACTTTAACTTTGAAAACCCTAGTTGTGCTAGTAGAAAGTTTGTCCATGAAAGTGTTACTGGTCCTAAGAAGTTATGTATTTTTTTTTTTTAATAGTAGTAGTAATGATTGGCTTACAAGAGACTTTAAAAACAGCATAAGACATGCAAACATATGCTCTTGATACACTGAAATCTCTCTCAGTGATCTGCTTCATTTTTCTTGTTAGCACACTTGTGAAAGAAACATAATTTTGCTCTTAGATCTACTACAAACACAGGTCGCGTGCAAAGTCATTCTGATCTGATGTATTATGTTTATCCTTTCAAGAGAGACCACTATGTTGATTTTTGTCATTGATACTAAAGAAAACTCTCCCCTCCTGTTTTCACTTGGCTTGGACTGTTAGCACTGCTGAATTTCTGTAAGCAGTTACACAGTGGCTGTTCAATGAGCCGTGCCTAACAAAGTAATAAAGTTTAATTAGCCCAACTTAATCTGACAGTGTGTTGCTGGCACACTGTACAGCTGGCTAGTGATGCATGCATGCATATGAAATAAAGATCACTCCTTGAAATTCTTCTTTGCTTCTAGTATTGTGTAATTGAATTTGAAGTTGTCTTCTACATTCTCTACTTTCCTCTGTACAATACAAAAACAGGTCTCAGTTAAGCAAATTGACATGTTCTTCAGTTTGAGTTTGATAGAGGCTATTTTCAAGATACAAATTTCATATTCTTGTTGTTTAATCACAGCAAAAGTTTGGATCACACAAGAAACCAAAATCTGTGCAGCCAAGCCCCTAATCTTTAATATCTATAACATGTAAAATTGTTCCAGGGTGCAAAAGCTCTGAGTACAGCACACAGGCTGCTTAAGACAGCATAAGGACTGCACAGAGATAATAATGGATTAAAGTTCACAGCATCTTCCTTTATACTTTGAAAATATGAGCTATACTTTTTTGTTTTCAATGATGTTGATGTTCATCATGCCTTACATGGGTTTACAAACTCAAAACTCTGAGCTAAGGTTTCATCAATGATTTTTGCTGCAGACAGCTCAACCTACAGCTGTAATCGATGATAAACACTGAGTAGAGAAAAGACAAAATTCAGCAGCCCTAGCTAGTGCAGCCTCAGTGTGCTTACCAGCAAAATTCAGGAGGTCTTTGTGAACATCCTGTGAAGAAAGTGGGCAAATTTCATAGAAACAGAGGTTGGACAGTAAAAGTGTAAAGGGGGGTTGCTGATGCAGTGGCTCCCTGGGGAGATTTCATCTGAGGAATCCCAGCCCAGGGACTGGAAACAGACCTCCCTAGTGCAGGGCAGGGTGCAGTCTTTGAGTAGATAATGGTGTGGAAATTGCTGGCAGTTAGAACAGGTATAAACGTCTCAGGAAAGAAACTGCTGCAGTGCTCTGCAAATGCTACATGGCTTGGTGCAGGGAGATCCCCTTGTGCTCCCAAAATAAGGAGTAAGGAGCAATAAGTGTTTATGTCACATCAGCTGTGTGACAGGGTCAGCTCCTACACATGACCTTGCCTTGGGGAAAAAAGTTCAGGAAGCCAGTGCCGAAGACTCAAGGACATGTGAGAGTCAAAAGTCTAAAGCCTTCTTTATGCTCTGAAGTACATAAAAGACTATGCAAATAAAAGTGTCACAAAATGACATTGGAGTGGAAAGTTAACACAAGGGCAGAATATTTATTCTGAGTGTTTCCAAGTTTTAAAGTCTTAAAGGTCCTATGTGGCCAGCATGTGACATCCAGCCAAACTCTGATCTCCCAGCAAGGGAGAAGCAGCAGTGCAGTTCCACTTGCATGGGTCTGAGCCTGTGCCCTGTGACTAAACATCTAACTGATAGAGGTGAAAACTTTAGTGTCAAATCTTCTCTCCTACAGTAATTTCCTTTTTTCTCTTTCCATTGGTATCTTTCTGGCTTATTCATGCCAAAAATTTTAATACCTGCTAATTAAGTTACAGTCAAGCCTTAGAAGAACTAGAAGTCTACATTGCATGGTGCCAGCTAGAGGAGTTAATTAGGCCAAGTGCACTGTCAGGCTGCTCTTGAATTCCTTCTTTCCTGTGTCATGGCAGCTGCAAGAGGCACCTAAGCTTAAGTTCCTGCTTCTCACAGGAAAATGTGGCTGTCTTGGTAATTCCCCTCTTCCTCACACATACTCCCCATGGATCTCTGCTCTTTATTTGGAAAAAAACAGGTCTCTTCAAGACATAGCATGTTTCTCCACAGAACCTCCAAGAATATTTCTTTTTTCTCACCATTTCAAAAGAGAAGCTATTTTCCCAGTCCTTCCTTTGCAGAGAGGTGATGTCCTTTAGCACCACTATCAAATCCACCCTTAGCAATCTGTACCACGAGTAACACATAATATGAGCTCTCATACAAGTCTTATCTCATGTTCACACCACTTGCAAGATGCCCCCTTAGCCAAGGTGTCCTCACTGCCCTTTCTTTTATTGCTTGCACTTCACGCAGCATAAGACAACTGAATGAGAATGTAAAAACAATCCTGGAGGCTGTAAATAATTTTCTGAGGAAGATTGCTTCCTTTTTATCTTTTTTTTCAATTCAGGCAGCTAGTAGTTTAGGTCCTTTAAAGGTATTGTGATAAAAGTCCAAGATGTGTTTTTCAGTTAATACCAAAAAGACTCTTGTAGGTCCATTTAAACTGCAGAAATCTCATAAGCAATGTTAAAGTCTGCTACTCAGGGGGAATACGAGATCTGAATAATGGGTTAGAAAGCCAACAGCCTCAGCTAGAGCATGCTTTGCTTATAGAGCCATCCTCTTCTGATTGATTTGTAAACCTATTTTTTTCCCAGCCCTTTTTTCCAGATGAAAGAACAAAAATGACCAAACCATGTTGTATTTGAAGAAGAGAAATATGACTCTTTTGGAGGCCTTTGCAGGAGTCAAATAACCATTAATCTTTTTTGTCTCCTGACCAAATGACAAAGCACAAATTAGGAATCTATTATATAGAAGAACTACTGAGTTAATATTATGGCTTTCCATTAAGAAAGCTTGGAAACATTTGAGTGAAATGAATTTGTTTTGTTTTGAGTTTCACCTTTTGCAGTCTCCTAGTAGCCAGTGCTACAATTAAATCCACACCATTCCAGAAGCCAGGTTATCTAGTTCTGTTTCAGCCCCTCTAATACCTCAAGCCTATTAATTGTCTCTTGGAATTCATCTACGTGCCACAACAGGTCATCAGCCTGTGCACACTTTGTGCTGGGGAAGCATCTGGGCATCCATTGCAAGCTACCACCTGTACTGACACCTCCTTCCTCACCAGTCCCATCTGGGTGGGAGCTCCAGCTTCTCAGGGCTGTCTCAGTAGACACACTGGTTTTGGCTCCGAGGTAGAGCCCACCTTTGCACAGAGACCAGGAGCACTTGGCACTTACCTGAGCTGTGGACCTCCCTGCACGCCCTGCCCATGCCAAGTGCTGCACCACATCCAATGTGACACACCCTGGCCACGCACTCCCAGAGCCATTTATATTGCCCTGGCAATGTCCCCTCCTCACCAGGCTGGTTCACAGGAGCTTATGGGTCCTGAGGGGCCCTGGCTCGATGCTCAGGTGTCCCTGAGCATAAGTGATTCTGCTGCGGGTAACTCATTCTGATGTGCTCGGAGTATGCAGGAGGCATTTGAGGTTACTCTTTGAAGGTTGTGGGAGAACACTACTTGGAGGCATATATCTATCACACGGATTTCCTGAGCCTAGAGGTTATTGTGGTGAGCAGGGGACAGATGTTGGCTATGAGGATCTTGGCCATGGTACCTTTCTATCTGCCAAGTTCCCAATGACAATAGAAGCCATATTTTCAGCCCTGATTAATCACCAAGTTCTTTAAAAACAGAGAAATTCACATAGTATTTCCCAGGAATATCTGTTAATTATTAAATGTGTGCTTAGATTATCAGAAAACAAAATTAAATCCATGACATCATAGAATCATGTGGGTTTGGGTTAGAAGGAACCTTGAAGATCATCTAGTTCCCAATACATGCCATGGGCAAGGACACTTTCCACTACACCAGGTTTTCTCAGGGCCCCATCCAGCCAGGCTATTGACACTACCAGGGATGGGGTATCCACATCTTCTCTGGGCAACCTGTTTCCGTGCCTTACCACCCTCACAGTAAAAAATTCCATCTTAATATCTAATCTAACCTACCCTCTTTCCATTTGAAGTCATTCCCCCTTGTCTCACTCCAGGTCCTTGTAAGAAGTCTCTCTCCATCTTACCTGTAGGGTCTCTTCAGGTACTACAAGGCTGCAATTAGGTAACCCCAAAGCCTTCTTTTCTCCAGGCTGAACAATTCCAATTCTCTCAGCATTTCTTCATAGGAGAGGTATTCCATCCTTATTTTGTGCATTTAACAGAGTATTAGTTGGCCTTTCCAGTAGAATATGTAATTTGTTATCAGCCCATGACATTTAAGTCTGTTGCTTCTGTTATGTGCTTTTAGATTCTTCCTAGTGGGTGCTGTACAATACTGGGAACAATGACAGACCTGTGCACAGGCACTAACCACTGGCTAGTAATTTTCTTTTATACCTCAAGCATACTATTTCTCTCTCTGGCCCCACAACAATATACAGTTTCCTACTTTTGCTTGTTCCTTCTTTTATGATCTTTAACACTACTCAAAATTGCCTCTAGTTTTCTTCCAGTGTCTGTTGAACTTCACATAATTTGTAGATAACAGTTAAATCTATCTCCACCATGGGTTTCTGAGCTCCTCATTTACATTGTTAGCCTTTGTTTCACTTCTGGTTCCTAAATATGACAAAAAATACAGTTTTCTTCTATTTCCACACTGCTTGTTTTCCTTTTCTCCTTATTTCAATGTGTGCTGTTCCAAAGTTTCTGCCAAGTTGGCAATTCTTTTTCTATGGCTGTTAACCTACAAGAGAAGACTGCTTTCACTTTACAGAGACTGCTTTGATCCATACCATCCCTGATTTCCCTCCGGGCCTGCACAGGCAGTGCTGAGGCTGCGGCTTGCATGTGTGCATGATTGCATGCAGTCCTGCATCACATCTGTGTGTAGACACCAGTGCAGGCTGCATTAGAAGATGTCCTTAGCACTTTGTCCCTCATGTGGCTCATCACACCAGCTCCAACCTCCAGCAATGGCCCATCATGATACTTGCATGCAACAGTGCAGCAGCTCTCAACTAGCCAGGATGAAAGCCCTTCCCTGGTTACTCTGAGGGCTCTTGGTCACAGTACTCACAGCCAGAGAGCCACCAAGAAATAAAAACCCATGGAAAAAGAAGCAAAAAAGAATCAGACTGAAAGAAGAAACACTGTCCTGAGCAAACCATAACTGCAGTGGGTTTGTGACAACCTTAATGCTGACATTTTTGTGAGGGGTTGTGCAATCCTTCTGGGCTCGTTATTTATGACACAAATTTTCTGCACATTTGCAGTGAGAGGCATGCCCTGTTTTTTGCCAAAATTGAAAGAACACCAAGGCAAGACATGTATGGTTCCTATACCTGTCTGAAGACGGTTCCTTACCAAGATGTTTTCTGGTCATCCAGTTCTTAAATGAGCTTCATTTTTGTCTTTCAAATAGTTAAGAGGCAAGGTTACTTCTCAAAGTGAGGTGTGGTTGGCAAAATAGCACTCAGATATTTTTTCCTACTAACAAACAGAGACTATTGATCTGAGGTCCATGAGGAACAACAAACATAATCTCGTGATATTTGCCTACAGAGTTATTTGTCATTGCAAAGCTGAACTTTGACAATTTATCCTGAGTTAGTCCTGAGATTTGGCAAGAAGTTTTGTAGAATAAATTTATCTGTATTTTACCTAGACCAAGTCCTTATATATTTGGAGGCATAAAGCCAACTACTTATTACTAAACATAGAACATACTAAATATAGCTATGAGTGAAAAACTTTTGTCATTGATTTATGTGATTTTGAGGAGGATGTTAAAAGTTAATATCAAGTGTTACCTGTCTGCAGATACACATGGAATGTTGTTTCTATTCCTTATTGGTATTCTTGTGCTGCAATTTACTCATATTGACAATGCTGATTTAATGTGAAAGAAAATAAAGATCTCCAAATAAAAAAAAAGAATTCTGTTTTAGAAATACTCACCACAGTTTTTATGCTATATTTTTCACAGACATCTTAAGAAACTAAGGTCTAAAATGTTATAATTTATAATTTTTTCTACCAGTTTGAAATATTCTGTAACAAAATATTTAATCAATCTATAATTTACATGCTTTCTTTGGCTTTCTATATTTTAATAAGATGTGCTGAAGATTTGATTTAAAATTTAAAGCAAAAGATAATAAAATAATTTAAATATTTACTGCTTTGTAAGTGAAGTTATATTTCTTTCATAACTATGCAATTATCTAGTGACACTGGACTCAAGGAACCTTAAGGTAAGAAAAGGTACAAATGTCAATTCCCAGCCTGTTTTTACTCTGTAATAGTAATCCACTGCTAACTTTTAGAAAAGTGACTTCTGAAATATTTTCTGTATTTTTTATGTGTGTTTATGATAGCTTTAACCAAGTTAACAGTCCCTAGGAAAGCTCTGCAGTTCCTACTGAGGAAGCGGGAACTTTCTGGAGTTATAATTTGCATTCCTCCTTTTTTCTACCACAATCTGTCAAGTCTAGCTGGAAAGTGAATACCGAAGGTGGCATCAGTAGAAACAAGAAATGACAGTGACAACAAGTCTATGAAAAGGAAACTGGTGCTATGTCATGGACTACTCCATCAGGCTTTTATCTCAAGGCATTAGCAAAAAATTTTATATTAGTAGGATAAAACAAAAGTCTTTTTTCTGCTATGCATTCCTTCCTTAGTAGAATTAAAATTATCTGTATAGCAAAGTGGCTTTCTTTTCTCCAGGCAGAGACTTCTGCTGAGGAGAAGACAGAGGAAGGCAAGCTAAAACAGCTGCACTCCTCAGCCCTTTACATTAGTGGTGTCCTCCAGTGTTTCAGTCACTGATCCTGCAGTTTCATACCATGCTTGGTTACAAAACTTAAAGAAATTAATGACAATTCACATGAAAATGAAATCTGCATCTAAGGGTATTCATCAGGGGTTAGTGGATTAAACAGACAGGACTTACAACCTGCACCTCATTTTTCCTGTTTCTCCTTTCACGTGCACACCCTGTGACTGTACAGCAATACCTACATCAGTTGGAGACTTTGAACCAACTGAATACCCCACAGGAACACATCAGAAAGGGCTTCTTATAAAACTGGTGAAAAGTGACTTGTATTTCATTAACACTACATGCTATATTCAGATGTAAGCTGTGGGAAATTGTAGTGACTTTTGTATAAGGAAATATAGTTTTTGTGTTTTAAGGAATTAATTAGGTTTCTAAGGACAATGGTTGAAAGATGAACACTAGCACAGAGTGGTATGCATACATAAGTGTTTCACTGGATCACAGGAATTGAGCCAGCGATGTGTATAAGTTTTGTCAATCAGCCATTTTTCTGAGGGTTTACAATTTTCCCAATGAAGAGGACAGTGTGGGTGAACTTATCCAGAATCAGCAGGAGAAATGGTCTGTTGAATCTGACTCGAGGTGGGCGAGGAAAATCCCCAGATCTCCAGGTAACCTCCTTCACTGAGGCCCCAGCTGCCTCCGTGCCATTCTCATGAACATTCAGCATGGCTCTGTGGATCACCTGCAAGAAACAAAGCAGCCTCCAGTTGACAATTCAGCAAGAAGAGAGCAGCCTGTCACCCTCTTCATTTTTGCCAGCCAAAGGGAGCCCTGCCTGGAGCAAGACCGAGCAGTAGCAGCTTCTGGGAAGGTCATCACCAGTTGCTCCCATTCCTACCAGCAGCCATCACCCCACTCAAGCCATCCTCCTTCACTGCTTGTGCAGAGAGTAGCCCTCAAACTGCAGGCAGCCAAAGAGTACTCAAGATGACTGATACCAAGAAAATCTGGAAGCAAAGAAACCCGGTAATTTAGCCGAGATTCAATTTTGTCTTTGGCAGCTTCATGTATTATTGTGAATTTACCCTGTCATCTAGCTGAAAAAAATAACTTTTTGAGAACACTAGAAGGGCAGGGATAACAGCCCTTTGCCCTATGTAGGAAGAATTAGAGGAAATTTTACCAAAGCTAATGCACTACATTTAGATAATTTTGTTAAGTAGCCAAAAGAACATTTAATTATATGTATGTTTTCATCCTCGTCCTCCAACCATGACTTTCTAACCCCTTGTAAGCATGTTTGGCTTCAGGTTTATGAAAGACAGGGCTTTCTTTGCCTCCAGACTGGCAGCTATTGATGAATGAGTGATGCTTCTGAGAGACTGGGAGAAGCTTTTCATGGAATATTAATGTCAGGTTCCTGGGAACAGGCAAATCCTGTGGTTGCTTTCACATGCTGACTTACTTTTGAAACTGTCAGTCCAGGCTCCTCAGTAATCCCTGAGAGATCAGCTTGTTCAGTAAACAGATTGACCATACCCATTTTTTTGACTATATTTTTCACATCATAGGTACCAGAAATAGAAAATTTTGGAATGTGCAGATGTATTTTTCTGTAAAAAACAACACAAATAGGGACAAATCATCATCTAGACAATATTCCTCAATGGCTTCAGTATATTGACACTTCACATTTGTTTTTCTAAATACTTACAGCCTTCTCTCAGGGTTCAGATAGCACTTCTGATCAGGTTAGCTACTTAATGTGGAGGGTTGGAAGAAAATAAGTCAGTTCTAGCTCCTGCCTCTGCAGTGGGATTCGAGGAGTGGGGTGGAAGATACAGCTGTACTAACTCAGTGGCAAACAGAGCTACTACTGCCAGGTAGGAGGGCTTTTTCAAATTATTGTAGCTAGCTGACCGAAGGCTGTTCAAATATGCAACACCACAGAAATAGATACAGTAATGGTGAATTAATCCACTTTTACACAGAAGGCCCTCAGCATAACATCCAACAGCTACTCCATTATAGTTTCCCAGTGCTTGTATGAAACAAAGGTCTGTTGACCTCATCATGGTGCTAAGTAATTTTTTGTTGAACCAGGAACTTAACCCAAGATGAAACCCAAGCTCAATGACCTATTTGTTCACTAGCCATAGCTCTTTTTCATTTTCCAGCTAAGAAAAGGGGAGTTCATAATAGAGTCAAGTCTATACATTAAGTGTATAGAGTTCAGTCAAATAACCTGTCCTTCAATGTCTTGTCTTGGTGAGATAAACACAATTAATCTGTAACATGGTCACCTCTCACCTTAGCAAAAAGTCTTACCTGTCTTGGAGGGACTTTTCCCATGTAGTTACAGTTCTTTTCAAGAGGGCATCTTCTACCTGCTTCATCTTCCCTTCATCAGGCAAAACAAATAATGCTGCAACATCTCCATTGTAAGGTATCTGAACCAGCCAACAGGACAGCTCTTCATCAAAGTAATTTCCATAGTAACCCTTTCGATACATCATATCGACTTTTACAGTTGTGTTCTGATCCACAAAAAAGTCCTCCTCTTTTGTCTGTGCTGTACTGAAGGGTTTCTCCCAATGGGCTTATTACAAAAAGGAAATATATTCAGTGGAATACAAAGAGGAATGGCCACAGTGCATAAAATAGGACCTAGTTTCACAGCCTTCCTTTCATTAGAGCAAATATTCTTTTCATGTTACTGCAACCTCAGGTGTTACAGCATTGTATATATATATATATATATATATATATATATATATTTAGGTGCTTAAAGACAATTACAGACAGATAACACTGAAAACAGCATCTTTCACTACAGCATGAGTCTATGATCACGTGACAAAATTAACCAAATTCAATAAAGATATTTAATTTAAAATGTCATTAAAGCAGGTGAGGATATATTTTTACTGGCAAAAAAATATACATGGGTTTATAATGATACCTTCCAGATATTGAACATGATTTCCTCTGTTTAAAATATTTAACTTTTTTCTCTTTTTGTTCTCTATAATAAGCACTATCTTTGTACTGTTTGATGTGTCTTACCTTTAAAGAAGACATAGTTAACGAGAACCATTGCAGTCAGAGGATCAAGATTTTCCACTAGTTTAACTATTTTCCCATTTGTCTTTTCCTCAATATAACTGTTGATCTGACTCTCAGCACCAACAGAGTTGTTAAAGTCAGTAGAGAAGACTTCAGATTCATAAAAGCTCTTGACATCATCCAAAAACTTCTGTAGTGGCTTTAGTGTCTCTTCTATAAAAAGGGCATTGCCCAGGCTCAGCTGGAACTCACTATTTGAACGGTTCAGCATGTGGAGAAGTTGGCAAAAAACTTTATGTATTTTCTGCTCCTGAGTCTTTTTAAGGTTAAAGGCAAGCCCTTCCAAAATCTGTGTCAGTGTCACAGCCTTGGCACCAAGTGCCAGCATCGCAAAGGAAGCAGAGATGCTTATGGGTGAAAAGAAAATATTTTTGTCCATTGCTTCAGATGCAACCAGCTTGTAAAAGGAAAATGCAAAGTCAGCATTGCTGAGAACTAGTTTGACAAAGGTTTTGTTCTTAAGTGGAGAAGCTTCTTCCCACTGAGAACTATGTCCTGGATAATATGTACCTTTAGCATCATCCTGCTTATTACGGTAGCGAGGATGCTGATGACGCAGGGCAACAGTATGCAAACCAACCAGCAATAAGCACAAGGAGAAAGTGGTCTTCATTTTGCTTTCAGCTGTTTCTGCAAAAGAAATAGACATGCAAAACATGTCATGGAAACTAATCTGTTCATACTGTGTCCTCCAGTAAAGTAAAATGATGCTCTCAGAACATACCTGTTCTCCAAAATCCCCCACACTTGTAATTCACATTTCTGATATATGCCAGTGTTCCCTGGAAAGAATATACCTCCACTATTTATATATATATATAGTCTAGTTCTCTTTCAAAATAGGTAATTTAAAACTTTTAAAAGTTTATTTTACTTTTAATAAACTTTTAAAAGTTTATTAAAGTATTATCTAATACTTTAATATTAGCATATTCTTTTAAAATTTGTAAATAATTGGAAGCTTATGACCTTTTCCCAAGAGAAACTGGCACGATTTGGCTTCGTACTCAATACTACATGAAGGTTACTGCAGCTCTGTTAGCCGTCCTCAATTCATCAAATAATTAAAGAGTTTAATCTGTATTAAACAAAAATGTGATATAAGCATAGATTATACTATCTAGAACCAAAATTACAAAATACTCTTATAGTTTCTTCAAAGGTGAAAGACTAGATCACTAGTCTTTGTGGTATAAAAGTCTATAGTAATTTTTATTGTTTCCAAACCAAATTCATACTTTATTACGTGAAGTATCTTCTTTAGTATCACTTCTTTCTAGCTTTTGAAATGTATTGATTTTTTTTCATAAGAGGTATATTTCCTATTTACATATACAAAGGCACCACTCCCAGGCAACGACCCCCTCAAAATGAAGTGTAAGAGATCCAAAGGAAAACTAAAAGGGTACTTACATTGCTATAGTCTGGTATTGTCTGCTCATTCTTCTCTTCAGTATAATTAAACAGAGTTAATCAGAGCACTCCGTTAATCATTAAGTAGTTCAAATAAAAGTTGCCAGTGAGGATGCACAACAAGCAGTAATGGCACTGGATATTTTGGACAATTTTTCCAACCCAGACAAACACTAGCAGTGCTGGGTGATAGAGCTGCGGAAAAGAAGGATTGGAGCAGAGACTGTATCTCTGTTGCTTCCATGCTTGTGGATTGCCAGGAGGGGCCTCCTGCTGTGGATGTTTGGCAGGAGAGCCGCAGCCATACCATGGCTGGGGCTGGAAGCTGTGACTTGGTGTGAGGGCCACCCCTTGCTTGGGTCTCAGCACCCCTCAAAACGGATCACAGAGTCTCTGCCAGAACGCCCTCTTTGATTTGTCCTGCAGGCACTGCTGGAGCCATAACCTCTCTGGCAGGATTTCAAAATAGGGTTTGGATTTAGAAACTCCTTCTGCCTTACTATATGCCTCAGTCACAACCTTCAACACCATGTTCGGTGGTTTTGGGGATTTTCTTATGCAGAGCAGACTGTGTATGATCGGTGAACAGTCTATAAGTTTTTTAGGAGAATAACACATGACATTATCACTCTAGCAAGATATTTACAACCAATAAAGCTGTCTGCTCATTACTGTTGGTCATCACCTGTAACTGAGTATTTGGGGAAGTGGGGAAGAATTTTTGCCTGGCTTTGTAGAAAATATACAATAAAACCACTACTGCTGAGAAGCAGCACTGACTGCAAAGAGAAACATGTGGTCAGAAACAGACATCTTATTTCCTTGGGTTACTCTTCTGTATAATATAGAACAGGCTGCCAATACGCCTTTCATCCAGTACTAAAGAAGACATGATGGCATCACTGGATGATATTTAGGGTTGAATATGAAAAAATCACTGAAGGAGAAACTAAGGCAGAAAATGAACCTCATTAAACAGATCTGGTTGCCAACATGTCCCTCTCTGCAAGTTCCAGGCATTTGGTTTCTGAGCAGGAGCTTCACACTATATCAGATGTTAAAATGCCCCACATGGTGTTCAACATCTCTGAATGAGAGCACATTGGTAGGGAGGTACATTTAGGAAGCTGAATACACTGAAATAATTATATTTTAATAGTGGAATTTGCCCTATGAACCTTTTTCTCTTGGTCTAAAAGAGCCTTTCTTATGCAAACAACTTTTAGAATAACAAGTTCACCAGAGAATAGAAGTTCTTATTTTGAAATGAAATTGTCTACCCAGAGAAATCTCCTGGTGTTAAATTAAATTTAAATTGAAGTCTTACATTCTATATTTTTGTGATGCAAACATGGCCTTAAACAAGCACTGAGAAAATCTCTTATGTAGGTATTTTGGAATTACACTTAAAATTTATTGCTTCCAAAGCCAGATAGAAAGTATTAGGGCTAAACTTTGCGAAGTGCTAGCATTTGTTATTGTACAACAGATTAATATTGTTGGCCTCAGTGAAGAAGCAGAAGGAAGATCAACTAGCTGAATGAATATATTAAATGAAATGAAATTTATTGTATGATTCTATTGCTCATTTCCCTTTTTTTTAAACAAGTCTTTGAGATTTTAGGATTTTGAGGACTCTGACAGATCAGAGATGGTGCAGCAACTCTTTTCCCAGTTTGAATGGAGACAAAATACGAGACTACGTGGTTGCCCTTAGCCTCTGCAGATCACAGCCTGGCAGGTCAGCACAATTCAATTTCCATCGATGACTTACATTATCATGGCTCCACAGGACACTTTGGGATCTAGGATGTACCTACATGGGCTTTCTGCCATGGTGCTGCACCATCTTTCCCAACATGGCAATGTAAAAGTGTACAGAAGTGCTGGAGCAGATCTGCTTCTGTTAGATGCCTCTTCTCAGTCCCCTTTAGAACCACTGTGAATATGTGAGGGCTATGACACACAGCACAATCACAGGCATGGGCATGAAGTGGTAATTTTTGGCTGGGCCACTGAGACACAAAATGTCTTCAAATTTTACCTATAAGATTTACCAAGAGACACAGCTCTCACTTGAAAGATAGAGGAACATTAAATAAATTCTAGTAACCATCCCTTGACTATGTAAGTTATGGTATGTCTTTTTTGATGGCTAGAGAATCTGCATCGGCAAGAGCAGCAAACCTAACAGCATTCATACACATTTTAGAACATATTACATCTTTCATCTCCTTTGTGCACAGATGTTTTCTCCTGCTATGAGGTTCTTTCCTGGCTGCAACCATCTTACAATGACTATAAAACATAGGTTGGACTCAATAATCTTGGAGGCCTTTTCCAGCCTTAAGGATTTTGTATTCTTGTTTTATATTGATTTTTCATTTCAAACTTCTTCCTTCATCAGAGCATCTTCCATGTGGTCTTTTTTTCTGACATGAAACATGGTGAACAATATAGTAACTTTTCCTTAATAAGATATTTGCTCAAGTCAGTCAGTCTTCTTCAGACCTTCCATATGAGAATCTCATTGCTGTTAACAGTTTTCCAATGATAAAGAATACATTCTTGTTTAGTAAAGTAATAAATAATAAGAATTATTTTCCGGATGGTAATGGAAAAGAAACTGAATGCAACAAAGAAATAGAGAAATAAGGGTAGTATAATTAAGGTTTATTCACTTGTAATAAATTAATCTCCAGCACTAGAACTGAACTGTACTTTCATCAATGAAATTCTTTGCAAGAAACCACCAAAGTAATTTACAGCAACATCAGTGGAGTTTGTGTAACCAGGATGTTAGTCATATCAAGGACATTTACATGAAATGGATGAATGATAATTTTCTTTAAAATTGTTAGTCTGAGTAAAGTACAATTTCCAAATTATTTAAAATGGATTCACTGTTATACCTGGGACTGGAAACTTAATGAAGGATATTTCCAGATCGGCCTTTGGTGGCTAGCAGTTTGAAGGGAATGAATGATATCATATATATGCTGTGTTTACATCTAATGAAAACAGTCCCATGTAAGTAAGGGCAGATGCACAGTACCCAACCAGGAATGTAGTATGGATGGTAAGATTTGAAGGGTGTGTTACAGGACTCAGAGATACACAGCCCGTGGTGGTCTTCACACCTTTTTGCTCTTGATAATTTGCATTTGTTCTAACTCCTACTGCAGTGAGTGTTTAGAGTTTTCAAGTGAAATGCACATTTAAGAATGTTTGTGTTTCTCTTGCACCTTTTCTGTGGTTGGAAATCCTAGTGCCTCTGTGCCTTGGAGACATGATTTGAATGCTGGATTAGGGATTAACACTGTTTGAGGTTTTCTCCTACCTTCTAAACTACCAAGACTCATGTCAAAGGTGAGTAGCTGGGTTCTCAGAATCCCCATTCAAAACCCACCCTGGCTGAGAACTATCACAATCTGGTTTTAAGAGCTTAGTGATATTCTGCTTGGAATTAGTGTGAGTACAAGGAAAATGCCTGCAGCTTTTGTTACACTGAATCTACTGAAACATAGAATACGGTTGGTTTACAACCTGTCCAAATTCTCATTTCCTTGCAATAATAGCTGTGATCACAGACAGTGCAGATAACATGACTGTGGGGAGAGGGTGGATGTGCTCATTCAAGGCATTCCAGATACCAGGGCTGAGGCTCAAATTGTCCAAAGTCCAAAGTACTGGTATCATATGAACAGCAGAGTTTATGTGAGCAACTGGTGCTATCCAAATGCTCTGTGCCTTTTGGTGTTGTCAGCACCTCTCCTTACAGCTGAAAGGAACACACACTGCAGTGGCCCTGCAATTCCACTGCTTCATCTCTTGTAACAATAATCTACATGGACTCTGCCATGAGGCAAAGCAAACAGAGTGTTACTGACAGAAGATATCCTGTCATAAAGCAGTGTCCCACTGGACCATAAACAAGGTCAGACAGAACAAACTTACAGTCTCCCACATGGCTGCCAGGATAAGTTTGGCACTCGGGTCTGCTGGGGCACAGCTAGGCTGCCTTCCAGGCACCCAGCCCTGTGGGTCTATCTTCCCTCACAGGGGTTCTCAGCTGAGTTAAACTCTCTCTAGGTACATCCTTTTCCTCATAACTTCCCATAAGTGTATCAGATCATGGCTCCCAGACCCACAGCAGGCCATTTATGTTGGATGTTTATGAGAGGTGGTCACATGCTTCACTCTAAGTTGTATTATCCTCTTCTGCTGACTGTCACTGCAGGAAGTCAGGTGGATTAGGTTATAAAGGTTACAACCTTTAGTTTATAAAGAAGGTCAGTTTTCTTTCAGGCCATAATTTGGATTCAGCTGCTCCAGAGGCTGAAAGAATGCATGAGTGGGAATTGTAGAGGAATAAAAACAACTCCAGATGAATGAGAGGCATTGTAAAACACATGTTTACCACAGATTAAATACACAGTCCCTAAAGGAAAATTTTAGTTATTTATGTCTATCAGAATCAGTTGTTTTGTTTTTTTTTGAAAGTTTTAAAGTTTCTTTAAAAGTTTTTTATGCCTTCTGATATTTACATATTTCTACTGAATTTTCTAACACTGTTCATATAAACAATGATTGTTTTACATTTGTCTTTGTAAGTAGAGAGAACTGATAGACTGTTAGTTTAACCAGTGTCATTGGAGAGGTAGCAATTTCACCCTCCAATCCACTATCACTTTTAGTATTCCATATATAGTAAAGTCAGAAAATAAAGTTTGCTCTTTTAGTTCTTTTCTCTCCTCTTTCGCATCTAACATCCATGTGTGAATTATTTAGTGTCACAGTGTGACAAGAATCCTTTTTTTGTCTACCTTTAATAACACTAATAGAATGAAGAGGGTTTCCTATCACATATTAAAACCAAAGAAAGCTGCAAGGATAAATGATGCAAAGTAGACCAAGACAGATTTACTTGGAATTAGGAAAAAATACTCCATCTCCCTACAAAAGCTTTCCAGAATTGTCAAGATCCTAAAGAATATTATCAGAACTGTGCTGAGAGTAACATCAGCGAGGTATGTTCAGTGCCCAGTCTCTAGAGACCTTCATACTGTGAATTGTAGGCATTTTTCTGGTTTTGGTGTATGTTTGGCACAAGATGTATTAGTTTCCTGTCCCCTGCACATCCCTTTCTTCCAGAAGGATTTAGTATGGCCCCTCTTCGTACTCCCAGTCTGTGCCACAATTCAGGTCAACCTGCTGCTCTGGAACATGAAGTCACTCAGCTGGAGGAAAATTGTAGAGATGCCCCACAGCTCGGTAGATAACTCCCAGCATTCAGAAATATCTATCCCATTTTATACTTCTGCTAGTAGCAGCCATTTTTCACAGTCCAGTAGGGAAACTATAAATGCAACTGTTGTCCTGCCATCTCAAACCCAAAGGCTTGGGAGGTAGATGGGAAAGGAAGTTGCTCTGTGTGTGATTTCCCAAAGCTTTTGCTCTGTCCTAGCAACTATGGGATTTTTCCTAACTTCTTTCCCTTTAGCAACAGGCCAACAACCTGTTTTTCTGCCACCACACTCTGATAAAAATCTCATGGCTCTGATAAAAATCTCGTGGCTCTGATAAAAATCTCACCATCCTACCTTCTAATCAGTCCTGGTGCACAGATTTATCTGGATGGGATCTCACGGGAGCTGCTCCCAGCTCCTGTTGAGTTTGTGTAGGCACTGCAGAGCAGGCTGCCTCACACCACAGCAAGTTCTCATCGATCTTAACTCTAAAAAGCCTCTGGATTTGCAGAGTTTTGCACAGAGGCACGGTCTCTCCCAGTCCCCTGAGTGATGCCATCTTGCCTCGTGAGGAGCAATAGCCCAGAGCTTCCCCTGAGTTCTTGCCTCTTGGAGCAAAGGGACCCACTCAAAGCAGCAATCTCCAAGTCCCCCCGAGTCAGAAGCACAGCTCCCCATACACCAACCCAATCCTACAAACCCCAGTGGGCCCCTGTAAAGCACCTCTGTGTAAGGTGGGCCAAGTTTGGGAGAACAAGTCAGAAGGCCAGAGAGGTGTCAGGGGTGGGGAGCTCGTCTGTTGATTTGGGGCTTGCACTACCTTTGCAGTGCCCAAAACAAGACTGCCAGGATCACTGTAGAAATGAGCAGTGTACATTCAGAAGCCTCATCTTCCTAGAGATGGGGACGCAAGTCCACTTGCAAAAAATATAGCCAGGATCAATATGCAGTGGCATGAGAGCAGGGCAGTGAGACAGAAGCTGTCAAAGTTAGCCTCTCCTTGAGGCAGCAGCTGTGCAATGGTACCTCAAGGTTTGCTATAGAGTTCAGCCCCAGTGCTCCACTGCAGTAAGTGTGGGTGATCTACAGACCCACAACAGCAAGTGTTTAGGTATTTCTTGAAAGCAGCTTTTACCCAAATAGGCACATAAAGAGAGAATGCGAAGAATCACAATTTCCATATGAGAAATTTCAAATTTCCATATGCACTCATTTAACAGCTTTAAGACATATTTTACTGATATCTGCTATGTTAGCAAGAGTGACTGAAAGTTTGTTGTTTTCGAGAGATTTATAGAATGGTAAAAGAGACTGGAGTAGTTTCTTAAGTGATGTACTTAAATTACATTGTACATTTTATTGATCATTCGCAGCTGATCAATTATTCATGAATGACACTTTTTTCCCAGACAATTCTTTGACTGTTTCTGCTATGCCTAATGTCACTGTCTCAAAGTTTTTTTGCTTACCTAGTGGAGTGCAAAGAGGCACTTGCAGTAAGAGCTACATCAGAATAAGTCTATTGTTTCAGGGATAATTCTCTTTCTTTTTTTGTCAATGATTTCTTAAGAATGTCCTAGGCAAAGAGCTGGAACCTGTGAGAAAGAACAGGCTGATTGAGGATAAACAGCAGCCTAGGCAGCAAAGAGAGATATAAGGGGGAAAGGACTCTGTAGGGACCAGCTCAAGTGAATACTGGAGAAGACATAGTAGAATGACAAGAGTTGTTACCTATTGGGATAAAACTTTTGGTGAGTAATCCAGAACTGAAAGCAAGACAAAACTCCTTAGCAGATATAATTAATTTTTAAATATAACAACATACTTAAGAAAAAGTTATCTTCCATGGAAAATTTGGAATGTGCATGAATAAGTTGAATTGTTGTGGTGGTTTTACCCTGGTTGGATGACAAATGCCCACTAAAGTCACTCCATCAGTTCTTTCCTCAACTGGAAAACATGGAGAAAACAAAATGAAAGGTTCATGAGTTGAGATAAGGATAGGGAAAGATCACAAACTGATTACTGTCACAGGCAAAATAGATTTTACTTGGAGAAATTAACTGAATTTATTCCCAATTAAAACAAGAGCAGGATAATGAGAAGTAAAACAAATCTTAAAAACACCTTTGCCCCAGCTCAGGGAGAAGGGCAATAAGGCTCATGGCCAGTTTATCACATGGTTCTGCTGCTGTTTCCTCCTCAGGGAGAGGAGTCTTTTCCCTGCTCCAGTGTGGGGTCCCTCACACAGGAGCCAGTCCTCCACAAACTTCTCTAGTGTGAGTCTTTCCCATGGACTACAGTTCTGTACGAACTGCTCCCTTGTGGGTCCCTGGCACAGGGGACAGTCCTTCAGGCACAGGCTGCTCCTGCACGGGTCCCCAACCAGTCACAAGCCCAGGCAGCAAACCTGCTCCAGAGTGGGCTCCTCTCTTCATGGGTCTGCAGGTCCTGCAGGAGTCTGCTCCAGTGTGGGCTTCCCATGGGGCCACAGCCTTCTTTTGGACATCCACCTACTCCTGAGTGGGCCTCCTCCATGGGCTGTAGGTGGATCTCAGCTCTCCCCTGGATCTCCGTGGGCTGCACGGTGACAGCCTGCTCACCATGGTCTGCACCACAGCCTGCAGGTGGATCTTTGCTTTGGCACCTGAAGCACCTCCTCCCCTAGTTCTTCACTGACCTTGGCGTCTGGAGAATGATTTCTGTCATTTATTCTCACTCTGAACTTCTTTGGCCTCAATTACTTCTGCAAAATAACTTTATGGTCTTCTCAAATGTGTTACCACAGAGGTTTTACTATCATTCCTGATTGTCTCAGCCTTCAGCAGCAGCAGATCCATCTTGGAGCTAGCTGGCAGTGGCTCTGTCTGATATGGGGGAAGCTTCTGGCAGCTTCTTAGTGAAGTCACCCCTATAGGCCCCCCACAGGCCCCCACTACTAAAACCTTGTCATGCAAACCCAATACAATTATTGAATGGGAAAATGTTACATTTTAAAACTGTCAGTTGAAGGTGATTTTTTACAATGTTTATTTCTTACTAATTTGATAAGAAAAGTTCTCATTTACTTCTGAATATCCCTCAAGCAGAGAGAGACTAGTTAGCAGCACTACCTCGCCCAAAACTGCAAACACTGTAGCCATTATAACCCATACCCAATATCAATGTGCCAAATAACCCAGCTATTACTCCTTAGTAGGATCAACAATTTTCCCCATGAAAAGTGTGGTGCCAGTTTGTTTGTCAGAAATCAAAATAAGGAAGGGCCTGTTGAATTTGATGGTATAAGAAGCAGAGGAAATTCTGGTAAAGATTATGGCAGTGGCTCCTGCAGCTTCAGCTCCAGCCTCATCAACTTCCAGCAAGGCCTTGTGAATTGCCTGCACAGAATAGAGAAAACACTGTGGTTTATATATGGGACAGGAAGCAGAAATAAAGTAAATTATCTTCTTATGGAACATTTAAGAGCAGAAAGGAGTAATAAATCCAGTGGATGAAACTTTATTGTATGATAAATCTCCAACACTTTGAAACAGGAGCATTTCATATGCCAGGACTGAGCAAGGAGGGCCAAAAATCAGCATGGACACACTGAAATGCACTCACCAGTACTGAGTAGAGTGGGATAAAAATACCCCATGAACAAGCTAGTTTATTTTCTTAGATGGTTTGGACTTCCACTAGCAACACTTTCTCTTATTTTAAGGTTAACTAAAAACTGCTATTTAAATGCTAATATGGGGCAGTATTTGGCATCTTTAGCATTAAATCATAGCTCAAACTGACATAGTCAAATTCTGCTACTGCAAACTGGTGATTTCCTGAAAACTTTGGGAAGATTAAAAATTGAGACATTATTCAACACAAATATCATAATGAGCTCCTCATTTGTAGTTTACAAATGACACAACTTCATGTAACCTATTATATTCCAGTACAAAGAACTTATTTAAAATGTTGCCCAATTTCTCTATGTATTTCATATCCATCTTTTTAATAGCAGCATTAAAGTAGTACAAAAGTGAGCCAGCAGATTATTTCTGTAAAAAAACACAATTACTGAGCTAGCCCCTACATGCCACTGTGAGTTTTACTTACAACTTCAGTAATATAAAGAGAGAAAGAAAGTCTTTAAAAATCCCAGACACAACTGATCAAAACAACCAACCACCATCTCATCAGCAGCTCTGTCTACTTACTTGTGAAACCTGGAGATTGTGGTTGCCACTAATTCCAGACAGATCAGCATTACCTGAGAACACTTCAGTAATGCCCATTTGCTCAAATAGGGTTTTAACATCATAAGACCCACTAATAGAAAACTTTGGTAACTGCAGATTTAATCTCCTGTTGATCAAAGAAAACAGAAGAGCAGTGAGCCCTTGCAGCCTCCAGGGCGGATAGTATGCAACTCAGCAACACTTGAAAGCATTCTTTTGATTGCAAATTTGTTTGATGGTAGTCTTTGTGTTCCTTAAGCAATTTTGGCATCCTGAGAGACACACCACTTTCTTGTATTTACATTCTCTACTTGATTTTGGGAAAAGAAACAAATTTGTTCATTGTTGCTCTTTCATCCCAGTGCCACATGTGCAGCTAGTAGAGCTTTTTGGCTAAAGGGTTAGAGAGTAAGCAGACAATGGTCTGCTGGACAGTGGAAAGCCTAAAGTAAGGGAAAAGGAGGACAAAATCTAAGACAGGGTGAAGAAAATTAATCATGTTAACACCATGAAAGAAGAGGTAAGGAGTCAAAAAGTAGCCAGGCAAGTTTTGAGGCAGCTGTTACAATGCTGTGATCCCTTCTATCAGGTCACAGAGCCTGCAGTTTCTTAATGATTGTGCTCTGCTCTGACTCATTTGGGGAATTGCTTAAAACTTCCCTTTATGAAATCAGGACATTATGTCCAGAGGGAAATGTTCTGAAATTGGTGTCTTCCCTTGAAAAGAGGGATGAGTGCTCATATATAGCGATCTATATGCTGGAGTTACCTGGTCACAAGTTTGCTATCCCATTTACAAACTGTTTTCTTAGAGAGAGCATCTTCCACTTGCTTCATCTTTCCATCATCAGGCAGAATAAGCAACGCTCGTGCAGTGCCCTGGTAAGGCAGCTCTACCACCACACAGGAGAGATCCTGGTCATAGTAAACATTTGAGATACCATCATGCTGCATCATGTTGACTCTAACAGATGCATTTGGGTTCACAAAAAAATCATCCTCATATGTACGCAAAGGATCGAAAGACTTTTCCCAGGCAGCTAATGGGGAAAAAGAGATGTTGTTGCACTCAAATGTGAAGATCATGAAGAATGGCTCATCTAAATAAGACCAGCTTTAATGTCGGACACTGGAGGTATATTGATGGGAGAAGAGGCTCACTAAATCACTTCAACCTCCTCCATAATGCACAATAAAACATTCTAGCTGTGCAATAAGCTCATCATATTTCGTGTGCATACGTCATGTCTTGCTGAAGAACAACCAAAGGCTGATGACCAGTTGAGAGTCCTTCTTTGACTGTAAGCCTATGCAATGCCTTTCATGTCATTTAAAAACAATCACTTAAGCATTCAGTCACAGGACCTTCTTATGCCTTTTCTGTTAGCATACCCTATGCAAGCTGATTGCATTCAGCCTAGTGTAGAATTCATCTTCAATTGAGGAGTCCTAACATTTGAGCAAGGCTCCAGAAGCACAGGCCCTCAAGATGCTATGTCCTAGATTTTCATGCAGAGCACCTAATAGATCTACCATAAAACTGGGGACCCTGTGCAAGGATGTCAGTCCACCCAGTCTGACTGGCATGTACAGTCAGCATAGAGATCTTGGACACATCTTTAGTCACTATGGCCTCAACCTGTGAGACTATGTGGATCCTTGTCTATGAGGCATCCATTAGGGTGGAACATTTCTGTCCACAGCTCTCAAGCAAATTGAGTCAAAACCAAGAAATCCATATTTCTCAACGATCAGATACTCTGCTTTTGGCCGAATCTAATCTTTACTTGAAAGGTTCTGCACAGTTTAGCTCTTTCATAAATTGTCACTCTGGTAATAAATCATCAGAAGTTCCCTAAAATTTTTATTTTGTATCAAAACTATCTATTGAAATATTATGTTAAGTATCTTACCTTTAAAGTAAATATAGTTAACAAGAACCAGAACAGTCCTTGGATCAAGATGGCCAACTAATTCAGGAATTTTCCCCTTGGTTTTCTCTTCTACATATTTATTGATTTGCTTTGTAGCTTCTTCTGGTTTATGAAAATCACTGGAGAAAAAATCTGCATCATAAAATTTTTTGGTATTTTTTAAAAATGATTCCTGTGGTTCATACCCAGCAGCTGTAAAAAGAGCATTCCCTATATTTAACGTGGTATTAACATCAGCACAGTTCAGTACTGACAAAACTTTGTGAAAACTTTCATGTACATCATTTATGTGAGTCTCAGTTAGGTTGCCAAAGCCCAGTCCTTCAAAAATCTGAGAGAGCGTGGTTGATTTAGCACCAACAGCCAGCATGGCAAAGGCAGTGGAGATGCTCACAGGAGAAAAGAACACATTTTTATCAGCTTCTTCTGATGAAGCCTGCTTGTAAAACCTAAATACAAAATCTGCATAGTTAGAGCCTTTCTTGTCACAGCTATATGTTAATAAATTTTGTCTTCCATCCTGCAGATTAGTATTGTTGACTTCATGGCAAATGTCTTCAGGGCAGCAATGGGTTACAGCACAAAGAACAGCAAGGAGTAAACACAGGCACAGGAGACACTTCATCTTCTTTTCAAATTATTCTGTCCAAAATAAACAGTCATTAAATGAACAGATGGTAATGATGTGCTTGGTAGTAAGAAATAATGAATAGTTTGTTAGCATAAATGTTGCATAGTTCAACTTTAAATATCTACATGCATAGCAGGCTTAAAATTCTCATGTGTACAATGTCAAATATATTTAACGAATTCTAATAAGTTATAGATTAAAATATCAGGCATAAGAAATTCATAATACTTCATGGTAACTGCTCTGAGAAAGCAATACTTTTTTTCCATTGGCAATGAAACTATAAAGCTACAGTCCATAATAATCTTTGTTAACAATAACACTATCTTCCCAAAACACTGTCTCCTATAGGTACATCAAAACATACAAGTTATTACAAGGTAAGACAGGGTGTGGGTTTCAAAGACATCAAATACTCCACAGCACCTGCCCAAAAGTAATTTGATATATGTAAGGAAATGTGAGGCAGCTCACAACTCACTGGGACTGAGCAAATTCCCTCACTTTCCTCAGGGCAGCAGCACATGGACAGAGAGCTATCATGGACTATCCTGTGCTTGTTAAATTCACACCCCTGTTTACTTCACTCATGTTACTTACTCACACGGCCAGTTGCTGGCCAAAACTGATAAGTGATGGAAGAAGGTCAACTACATGAACTTCAAAGCAAAAGCCTGGAGCATCCTGTGCCATGACAGCAGTGCACAGAGAGGTGGGCACAATGACATGTGGCAAGCAGCAGGTTTGCATCAGATAATGAGGTGCACGTTTGGAATGAAGGAATCTGCCTTTTGGGGGAGCTGCAATGAGCGTTTGTAACTTCTTAAATGGTGGTTACCCATCACCATGGGTTAACCTGCGTGGGATGTGGGAAGGACCTGGGTCAAAGAAGAAGAGAGAAGCACTCATCCTATTTGGACATCAAAGGACATCAAAGATTAATTCAGCTGGAGACTACAAGTTTCTTCCTTATGCTTGTTCTCCTAAAGCTGACGTCATATATTTGACATGAGCCACCTGCTCTCCACATGAGCTTGAACAAAATCTCTGGTTTACTGAATTCAGTTCCCTGCAGTCCTGGGGAGGCATCTCATATAAACCCTCTTCAGAACTGTAACAAGCTATCAATGAAAATAAGATTTTTATCCTCACATATTCAGCATGAAAACATTTCTAGAACTTTTCCACTGTCATGAGTCCTCTTCTGGTTTCCAGCCAATACAGCCTATTTATATCTTCTTCTTTCAGGAATGTATTTTCCCATGTCTGTGGTGAAGTTGTCTTGGTCCTACATTCATTCCTAGATGTGAAAGATGAGTGTATATACTATCTCAAGATTTAGAGTTTCTGACAGCAGCCCAAATTCAAGGATTCTTGGTGATTAACCCGTTGTTTTATTTTTGTATTGATGGTCTTTCTTTTTTTCATAGCAAACATATAGATAGCTGTGTGTTCTCATATTTGCTAGGATCTGGGTGCACTGATTCTGCCCAACATCATCCAGGACCCACTGCACTGACCCACAGTAACAAGTGGCAACACTAAACTTGAATTTCCTTAAAACAAAAGCTGGAGTATGGCCCCTAGATGGGAATATGATTCAAATATTTTGCAGATAACTTTTAAACAGAACTCTGCCTCTTTTTCATAGTCAAAAAGGAAAAAAAAAAAAACCAAAACAAAACCCAAAAAACCCTTATTCACTGTGGGAAAAAGAAGAAATAATATCGTGTGAAAGTTTCAAAAGTATTTAATGTTAAACATGTCAAAGTCTGTTTTTCTCTATTTATTTGAGATATTGGACATTTAAGTGAGAAAGAAAAAAGTAATTTTACTTCCTGTGTCTGTACAGAGCTTAGCCTAAATTTTAAAGAATTTTAAAGAATTTCTGAAGCAGAGAGTATGGTTTGGGATTTTTTTTCTTCAGCAAACTTATATTAAGCATGTTTTTAACTTCTGCTGTAACAGATCAGTTAAAACACTTCTCCTGGTATCATAATTCTTTATAGAAATCTAAAAGAACTACTTCTATCAAAACCTGGAAAACACTGAATATTGGCATTAAGTTTTCCTCAAGTACTTTTCCTTTCAGAGATGAAAGCCATGTTAATTTCAACATTTTGAGATTATAAAATTTCTGACACCAATATTTTTGTTAACATTTCAAAGCTGAAGAAATTGTAAAGGCTTTGTTAAGTCTGGAAGTAATTTTTATGCAAATTAAAAATTCAGAAAATAATTCTCTTCCAGACCACATATTAGTTTGTCTATGGGAGAAAAAGGGGCAATTAAATTTAAATTGTGGCCTTCCACCTACCCCCTACACTCACCCCAGTCCTAATTAGAAAGCCTGGCCTTAGCAATTCAGTTGTTGCTTTATAAATTAAGTCACCAGAAGAGTTTTTAAATTGGACCTGGTTGTTCAGTCACTAGTGGGATTATACTAATTTTGAGTCACTGTGAAGGCTGTTTCCCATCTGAAAGGTGATTACATCAGTATTCTCTTTTAACAAGTACTTAATAAGTCACCAGGACTTCAAAGGGTTTTTTTAGTTTGATTTCAGTCTAAGCATATTCCCCAGAACAGCAGGTCCCACTGGTCTCTTGCACATCTTCTTGGTTAATATTTCATTGCAACATCCACACAGAACCAAATCACAAACAGACAAATGAAATTAACCTAATATTAAAATTCCACTTACTGCAGAAAGCATCATTTCCAGCTCTCTAAAAAAAAAAAGGTCTGTGTAGTACTTACAAAATCAGAAGCCCCGTTGCATTCAGCTGACCCACGCTGTTATTTATACTGCTTCATCATCTTCTGTTTAATTAGAGATGTTAAACATTACACAGACCTGATAAAAATTGGAGCCAACCAAAATAAAGGAAGAAACAAAGCAAATATTGATGAAACAGGGTTCTCAAGGATCATCTCTGTTATTCAGCCAAAGAAGTTGACAATCTTCAGCCATTTCAATAGTAGCTGTGACATCCCCTCTGTTGCCTCAGACCATGCGGAGGAGCTTAAGTGCAAATGTGTGATTAGGACCCTACTGGAAACCAGGAGGTTGTGCCTGGAATCACTAGAAACAGGTGCTAACTCTTGGTGCCAGAAGTCAGACCTTCGGTGTTGTGATGAAGCACATGTGGAGCTGACAGCCATGTATCACATCAGGTTGGTGCTCCTCCAAAGTCTACCCGGAGACAAATCTTCTGCATGATCCTCAGCTTGTATATGGATGACAAATTGCCTGTACCTTCTCACTCTGTAGCTTAATACCACTGCAGGGGTATATGATAGACATGTTTCCATTATAGATGTCCCACTCTGGCTGATGTGGTCCCTTCATCTTTCTCAGTTATGTGTGCATCTCAATTCCTGCCTTGGTCAGGAGTACAAGTGGTGGGAACACAAGCAGAAGGCTCTTTACTCCCACATGTTCGCGTACTGCATGTGCGCACTCACTTCTCATTCCCCTTGCCCTCTCACACACTTTTAAATTGTTCAAATGAAAACAAGTGCTGTTTGTTTCTATCACCTTTTCCCAATAGGACTGAAATGCTGATGGATCAGGATGACTGAATTTTTCCAGTTAACAATAAAGACCATGACTGAGTGGTGACATAAAATACATTTCCCCATTTGTGATGACTCTTTGTATTTGTTTACTCACATGTGTAATTTTGTTGTTACAAACATAGATAAACATGGAGACAGAACATAGATAAACATTGTCTGGACACTCCCCTTCTTTGTTTTCCTCTCTATTTCTTCCACTCTCCCCCTCCCCCCTTGCCTTTTTACTTGCTCCTTCTAACTCTGGCTGTAAAGATCACAAACACAGAGATTATTTTACTCATCAAAGCCCAAGTGAATAACAGGTCATGGTGGTCAAGGACGAACTGTGCTACAAAATGGTTATAAGCCTCTTGTTTTCTCTTTCATTTGTGATGCCTTGTAATTACTGTTTTGTTTTTAATAATGTTAAGCTAACTTTAACAAGGCATTTCCTTGCCATTTCATTATAGCAGCAGAAATAAGGTACTGCAGTAGCTTGAAACTAAAACGATGAGCAGACAGACACACGCATGCCAGGTGCACCACGCACTGCCACAAGCCATTACAGTCCCACCTCCCTGCTGACCACAGTTTCAACTCTAGGTCATGAGAAACCATGTTAACCAGCTTCATACTGATCATTTATCTAATGAACTAGATATTTTGCTCTATTATTTATTTTTTTTATAGGAATAAAAGTACAGAACATAGAAATAACAAAGTCTTTTATTCCTTCTGATAATTAAAACCATGACAAAGTCTACATCGCCTGAGACCATGTCACTGCTCTTCATGTAGGTCAGTTTCTATACTCCAGCTCACATTTTGGTGTCTCTAGAAGAAATAGAGCCATCTATTCATTTCATTCGCTAATACCTTGCAAACATCTTCCTGACAGTTTAGTTTGTTTTGAATAGAACATTCCAAAGCAGGTTTAAAGAGTTCTTAATTAACCATTAACTGGTATATTCAATGTCAAGAGAACGACTCAACTTGTCCAGTGTTCTTGTTATGCTTCTATACCTTAGGTAAGGAAATTAGAGGGTTTTTGTCAATTTATCAACAATAAAACCCTCCTGAGATTATGGCTTAGAAACACACAAGTTACTTCAAATATTAAAAAAATGTATACATCTTAATCTATTATATCATAACTTAAGCAAAGAATTTTAGTGTAAAGAATACAGACCACAAGCATATTGACAAAGCAGCAATATGAAGGAAATGGAGTATGGAATAAGGAAGGAACTGGACACTCCTTTCCCCTCCATTTCCTTGCTGATAGCCTTGAGTTATGTCTTTGGGAAGGATCAGGCACTCAGAGTGCAGGAAAATTGCTAAGATTGGAAATGTACATGTGTCTGGTGATCTATGTTTTTTCTATTCTGGATGAGTTATATAATAAAGAATAAAGGCACAATCTGCTCATAGTGGTCATGCCATGCTTTCAGTACTTCTTGGGGAAGTATTCTTCTATTGTCTTTCCTCTCAGAAGGACAAAATTCAGTAGTTTAGAAAGGGACTGTGAAATTCGGATAAAATATAGTCTATATATAGTGAAGAAAACTTGCACAAGGAGGGTTAAGTTCTGCTCAGAGAACATTTTTTCATTTGAATTAGCATCATTCACGTGAACTGAGTAGAGAAAAGGGACAAGAGTTTAAAAAAATTGTCAATGGCAAAGACCAATAGTGTACACTTGTCATAATTTTTCAGTTGAAAAACCAATTTCAGTTGCAAATTATACACTAAATGTAGCAAGTGTGTTACATGTATGGTGCACCAGTAACAACTGAACACCTGAATCCCCTATTGCTGCTTTAGTGTGTGCAAGTTGGTGGGTATGACTCAGGAACCATAACCTCATTTAAAAGGGTCAGGAGAGTAGGCAGATTGCTCTAATATTAGAAACCTTTATTTAGGCCCCAGAATCTTTCAAAAGAAGGCTGATTTTCCATTATTTCTACACATAAAAGCTTTACCATGGATTTCTTTTCAGACCTGAGTATTTCTCTAGCACTAATATTAGTAATGAAAGAGCTACAAAGATTTTAATATCTAAGTGATTTCCATCTGGGATATTGTGAAAGAATAGTATGTGTTCTGTTTTCTTTTCTTTCTAACCACCAAAATAGATGACAAAATAATCTTATTGACCATTATTGATCACAATATCCAATAATGTCTTTTATTAGCCAAGTACTGTTCGGGATACTGGAATGATTTTCAGATTGGGATGGACCACCTGATGAGACAACCACAGACTGAAAATTCAGGATAAATGGCTATCTCTGTTCAGAAGCTCAGTTTTGGCCTTGGGAACATCACTAACACTAATAGGCTTCAGGTTTCTCATTTTTAAGATAAAAATTACACATCTAACTTCCTCACTGAGATTAGATGAAGTGAAAATAAAAAATTACTTTCAAAGGTCTTGAGCATTACTTTATTTCTTTATTGAGTTTGATGAAGACAGGATCATTTTTATCAGTTTTATTCCATGACACCTTCCTTCGCAACAGTGATACACAATTTGAAAATCTGTGGTCTGCAGGGTGAAGCTTTATACAGCTTCAAAGTGAAATTTGAAAGTTTCTTCAATTGCAAGCTTCCATGAGCAGTCCTCTGGGCTTTACAGAATGTGTCTTCTTTCCTGGTAAGCTTTGCACTTGTATTCAAGGGGTGGTAGTTATAAGGTACATTACAGCGTGGGGACGGGTGATTAAGCACACCCAAATATTTCAAGTATTGCACCTGTATGCACCACATGACACTGCCCAAGGCAATTATTTTACCAGATATTTTTCTTTCATGTCTGAAAAATGCAAATATCTGTTGCCAGCACCTACAGTGTAATAATCTTACACAGAAAAATAGAGAAGGATAAGACTATTGCGCTTACTGAATTATTTTTTTTTGTCTTTCAGTTTGACCCAAGCATCATGCCAGCACTGATTGTTTCACCTGAACCTCTTCATCTATTGCCCATCCAGTGCTGTGTTTTTAAAATAATATTATTTTCCTGTGGTAAGGCACCTAACTCCTGCTCAGACTATGTAAGCTAAGAAAGGAAGGACGGTCAGTCGTAGTGGGCAGCTATAAGCAGCCAAGAAGCTAAGTTTCTGCAACGTGAACCTGTGACTGAGCTGGGAAGGGAAGCAGAAACTCCCAAGTCCCAACCCAATGCTTTGTAACTACTGGTCTGTCCTTCTTTCCTAATAATGTTCTTGCGTTAAAGAAAGAAAGGAATTAATCAATTAATTATGGGTTTCCAACAGCAATATAGTACTTAAAATTTTAATAAATGTGTGTCTATACCACATGAAAATATTCTTAACAATAACCATCCCAATGAGTAATTCAAGACTTAAGCAACTAACATTATTCTGAAAGCCTTCATTAAAAAAGTTCTTCACCTTCCCATTTGGTCCACTGACCCTGCTATCTGGGACCATCTCATCCAAACTGCTTTCTTTACCTCCTGAGTGTATCACTCCTGAGTGATACTGAATCAAATGTCTACCTTTAATCACACAGCTGATCAAGTAAAGTTGGTCAAAGTGGATTGAAGTAAACAGTAAAGACATTATTCTGTGACTCAGAAGCTTAGCTGTCCAAGCACACCATATGGATTTTGGCTAATTCTCAGAGAGGACACAGAAATTGGTCTTGCAAGCCAGAGTTAATTTACCTTTTTTATTACACCTTGTCAGAACAGCTCTGTTGAAAATGAGGGTACAAACACATGAATGCATCAGGGAACAAGTGCTGAGGGAAGGCAGGTTTCAATTTTATTTTGAATGGATATAGAGTAGATCAAATTTTGCTGTGGCCATTGCTTTTAACCATGCTGGGAGAAGATTTAAACCAACACCATACCAACACCATATAGCTTTTAAAAATCCTGCTCTAGATCAATATGCAGACAAATTAAACAAAGCCATTTTTCCATGTAACAACTATTACACAAATTACACAAGCATCTCAAATCTTACTTTTAACAGCAAAACTGTTGGAACTGTAACAAAACTTCCCTAATCTAACTTGACAATACCCTGTCTAGTGTTGTCTCCTACATACTGATATCTCCTCTTCACATCACATCACAT